GGACGGTCCCAGGGATAAAAGTTCCCTGGGGGGTGCTGATGAAAAATGAAGTTTAGTCCGGACAAATGTGGCCCCAACCAATAAACAATGCGACCCGTTTTTTTACAATGGAACCCTTATCTGGGATTTGGGTTTTCCCAGGTTTTACCTGGCCCGAAAATAACCCCTTTAAATTTTTTTAAATTACCCCAAAGTACTGTTGGCATTGTTTAAAACCTAAAGAAGCCCGAAGGCTTCCCATTTCCAAAAAAAGGAAAAAAATTCTCCACTTATTGTGTGTAATTTATTAATTAAATTTTATCATATGTAAATTAAAAACAACTTATACATGGGGGTTCACTACTATTCGTAGTTTCGGGCATCCACGGCAGGTCTTGGAAGGTATCCCCCAGGGATGCCTGGGGAGACTACTGTATGTGGTATCCTGAAGATTGTACCAACTGTGATGGAAATTAAGTTTTTGTTGAGAAGTTATCAGTTATATATTCACCATATTCATCACCGAAACAAGTAGATTTATTACATAATATTTTCGGCAGTGATGCGTACTTTGAGCTGCATCGATCATTTATTATTTTTACTCTTGCATGGTTTTTAGGCCTAGCACTACTGTGCACTTAATAAATGATAGTGTAAAAATGTCTTTAGGCTTTTATATGCACTGGTAAGTGAAAATACGTACCGTGATTTGCTTTACGGCATCGGTCTGTAAAAATAAAAGCCTTTAACTAATGCATCATTTTTAAGAAGAAAAATAATTAAAATTAATATATACCATATTTTACGGCAACAAGATGCTCTGGCGTTGACGACGACCCAGAATTCTGACTGACTTACTTTTGAAAAAAATAGATAAATGGTATTAATGCCTCCAAGACACTGGGTAAATTTTCGAGACCTATTTCGGAAAAAAATAGCATCTTCAACGCCGTAAAATACAGTAACTCTAGACGCATCAAACTTTCTTTCCCTCACTTAAGAAAAAGTTGAATTATACCAACTTTTGACATGTCAATTTTTTTTTTAAATTTTGCACCAAACTAACCTCTGGTGGCTCTGGTGGCCTGGTGGTTAACGCTCTGGCTTCACACGGTGAGGGCCTGGGTTCGATTCCCAGCCAGAGTAGAAACATTGGACGTGTTTCTTTCCACCTGTTGTCTATGTTCCCCATCAGTAAAATGGGTACCTGGGTGTTAGTCGACTGGTGTGGGTCGCATCCTGGGACACTGACCTAAGGAGGCCTGGTCACAGACCGGGCCGCGGGGGCGTTGACCCCCGGAACTCTCTCCAGGTAAACTCCAGGTAAACCTAGCAAGATAACCTATAAACAAAAATATAAACTTTATTTGAAATAAAACACATTACTTTTCCTAACTTATAAATTTCTTTAAGCTTTTGAAATGTAGTATCGGCAAGACAGTGATGGTGTGAGTGATGATGAAAGTGTTTCTTCTTTTTCGGGTCACTCAGTCTTGGTGGGAAACAGCCAAAGTCTTAACAAAAAAATATAAAAATACTTTTCCTAACTTTTATGAGAATTATACACAAATAACCCGCACATAAAAGAGAAGCTTACGGCGACGTTTCGGTCCGACTTGGACCATTTACAAAGTCACTTTGTAAATGGTCCAAGTCGGACCGAAACGTCGTCGTAAGCTTCTCTCTTTTATGTGCGGGTTATTTGTGTATCGTTCCAGTCACGGTATTGTGCCTTTTTTGTTATTTATATGAGAATTTCTCTAAAAATTATTCAACTTTTTTTCCTGTGAGGGACAGTTTTTGTGTCTTTTATCGGAAATTAATTTTTCTGTCTCATTATTGCTTTAAAATGCTTTACAAAGTATTGACTTTATTTTGAGCCTAATACAGTGGACCCCCGCATAACGATCACCTCCGAATGCGACCAATTATGTAAGTGTATTTATGTATGTTTGGGGGTCTGAAATGGACTAATCTACTTCACAATATTCCTTATGGGAACAAATTCGGTCAGTACTGGCACCTGAACATACTTCTGGAGTGAAAAAATATCGTTAACCGGGGGTCCACTGTACTTTATTATATATAAACTCCATTACTTATATACTGCAAGAAACATATAAATTTATATTTACAATCACCTTAGAGATTATATCCATAAAATCACTCAATTACTGCTTTATTAATCTTAAGTTAGTCTTAAGTTTGCCCAAAATGCTCTGAATATTAAGGGTTTTCTGCATGTACACCTAAATTTAAGTCACCTCTGTATATTGTATCATGGTGCAATAAATGTAAGTCACCTCTGTATATTGTACCATGGTGCAATAAATGTAAGTCACCTCTGTATATTGTACCATGGTGCAATAAATGTAAGTCACCTCTGTATATTGTACCATGGTGCAATAAATGTAAGTCACCTCTGTATATTGTACCATGGTGCAATAAATGTAAGTCACCTCTGTATATTGTATCATGGTGCAATAAAGTACAATGGTACCCCGAGTGTTGTACAGCTCCCATCTTGAACAATTATGTAAGTGTATTATTGTAAGTATATTATTGTAAGTGCTTATGTAAGTGTATTTTTGGGGTCTGAAACGGATTAACCTAATTTACATTATTCCTTATGGGAACAAATTCGTTTGGTAACGGCACTAACAGCCTTCTGGAACAAATTACAATATGTACGAAACTCAGGGTATCACTGTATCTTATTTTAAATTATTTGTATTATAGGAGGCTTCCTTGATGGGTTTAGTGGATAATTTTGCAAGAAGACTCTCTTATGGGACTGTTGTGGTCCCTAAGGCACCAGAAAAAAGTATACTGGTTTTATCCATAATTTTTTAAGTGGTGGAGAGGTAAGCCAGTGGAAGGCCTCGGTCAGATGACCTAAAGCTCCACCTGTGGGTTATTTTATGACTTAAGACCCGTGTCAAGAAACTTGTCTTGTGTCCTGACAAATCTTACCTAACACTAACAGCTGTTACCAACTGTCACAGTGTCATAATATATATTTTATTGACTTATAAGAACATAAGAAAGGAGGAACACTGCAGGAGGCCTGCTGGCCCATACTAGGCAGGTCTTTCACATTCCATCCCACTAACAAAATATTTGCCCAACCCAATTTTCAATGTTACCCAAGAAATAAGTTAAGATACAAGATAAGTTAAGATACAAGGTAAGTTAAGATACAAGGTAAGTTAAGATACAAGATAAGTTAAGATACAAGATAAGTTAAGATACAAGATAAGTTAAGATACAAGATAAGTTAAGATACAAGATAAGTTAAGATACAAGATAAGTTAAGATACAAGATAAGTTAAGATACAAGATAAGTTAAGATACAAGATAAGTTAAGATACAAGATAAGTTAAGATACAAGATAAGTTAAGATACAAGATAAGTTAAGATACAAGTTAAGATACAAGATTGTCTACTTATTTTATATATTATAAATGGTGGCATATACTTTCACCATAACTAATAATTTTGGAAGCATTAGAAAAAATGTAACTACAGTTATTAATAATAATAAATATACCTTTGAGGAGTGTCAAGTCTTTTTACTCCTGGAGCCCGGTGCTGTCTGGTCAACTAGGTTGTTGCTGCTGGTGGTCCTGGACCTGCTGGTCCGGTGCTAGCCTGGTCAACTAGGTTGTTGCTGTTGGTAGTTCTGGACCAGGCTAGTCCAGTGCTGCCTGGTCAACTAGGCTGTTACTATTAGTGGTCCTGGACCAGGCTGGTCTGGTGCTGTCTAGTCAACCAGGCCGTTGCTGCTGGTGGTCCTGGGCTAGGCTGGTCTGGTGCTAGCCTGGTCAAACAGGCTGTTTCTACTGGTAGCTTGCTGCTCCACACATTCATCACAGCCCGATTGATCTGCGTAGTGTCCGACAAACTGAAAGTAACTGTTTGATCCGAGGATCAATATTATAATCATACCTAAGCACTAAACCCACAAGGGCCAAGAATCAATAACCCTGTGATCAAGGTCCTTCAATATTCTTGATACCTTCTTTAAGATGACATGAAGGAGGTCTCTTGATGCTAGCAAGGGGATCTTGATACAGGGGACTGCTGCTACCCTCCCCTTTCAAGGATCAAACCTGCTTCCTTCAGTGGTGAAAGTTAAGACACATGTGCAACATACACAAATAACCCGCACATAAAAGAGAGAAGCTTACGACGACGTTTCGGTCCGACTTGGACCATTGACAAAGTCACACTGTTATTTATGTGCAACATCTGGATATCTTTAATATAGACGTTTCGCCATCCAGTGGCTTTATCAATACAAATTCCAGGACATAATTAGAAGACAGTAGAACTATGTACACAGGACGAAGTAATCAGTCCCTCAGCCTTGGAGTTGGTGTGAAGAGCACCGTGGTGGTAGAGATTCTGGAGTAAAGGCAGACTGGCGTTTATATAGGCGCCTTTATAAACGCCAGTCTCTCAACACTAACTCCAAGGTTGAGGGACTTATTACCTCATCTTTTGTACATAGTTCTACTGTCTTCTAATTATGTCCTGGAATTTGTATTGATAAAGCCACTGGATGGCAAAACTAATATAATAAAGATACCCAGATGTTGCACATAAATAACAGTGTGACTTTGTCAATGGTCCAAGTCGGACCGAAACGTCGTCGTAAGCTTCTCTCTTTTATGTGCGAGTTATTTGTGTATGTTGCACATGTGTCTTAACTTTTATCTTGTTGGTATTGTATACTTTTCTTGCACAACATTTTTTCAGTGGTGTATTTCACACTTGATAATGCTGACACAACCAGGATAACTAATACAAAATACTTCCTTTCAGTATACTATATTATATATAATACATGACATATACAGTAAACGCTTCATAATACGATCCAATAACTGTTAATAAACACTCAGAAGAGGCACTTTAAGAGCAAACACTAACATACATAATATACTATATATATATATATATATATAAAATATATATATATATATATATATATATATATATATATATATATATATATATATATATATATATACATTCATACATTATATATATACACACACACACACAATCTATACATATATATACATACATATGTTTTATCCTGGGTGAAATAATAAAGGGAGTAAGGCATGTATACACATACACACACATACATGCATACACATAAGGGAAATCGGTCTGACGACACTGGAGGACAGGAGGGTCAGGGGAGACATGATAACGACATACAAAATACTGCGCGGAATAGACAAGGTGGACAGAGACAGGATGTTCCAGACATGTGACACAGAAACAAGAGGTCACAATTGGAAGTTGAAGACTCAGATGAATCAAAAGGATGTTAGGAAGTATTTCTTCAGTCATAGAGTAGTCATGCCGTGGAATAGCCTAGAAAGTGACGTAGTAGAGGCGGGAACCATACATAGTTTTAAGACGAGGTATGATAAAGCTCATGGAACAGGGAGAGAGAGGACCTAGTAGCAACCAGGGAAGAGGCGGGGCCAGGAGCTATAACTTGACCCCTGCAACCACAAATAGGTGAGTACACACACACACAGCATGTAAGAACGGCTAAAATAAACATTAACATCTCCCTCAAGGTTAATAATGATGACCTAAGATGATGAGTGTCACTTGAAGGTCACTAAGGCAGGACCTTTATTCTACTACCTTTACACCACACCGGACCTTTATTCAATACAAGTGTCCCTGACTTCTTGCAGAGGCTTGGTCCTCTCACACTTACCTCGCTAATATGACACTTTGCTTTACAGCGCTTCGCTAATACAGTGCTTTGTTTTTCATATTTAGTAATTTATACACGTTACTAGCACTGTGCTCATGGCATTTAGTACAGCGTCTCCTCACTTAGCAACGTACTCGTTTACCGACGGCTCGGACTTATGACGGGCTCTCTGACCAGTATGCATACCTAAATAATGTATATTAGAGCTAATTTCCTATATTCTTAATGAAGAATTTGTTTACCAATGTGGTCTCAGGAATGCAACTCCGTCATTAGGTGAGGAGACGCTGTAATTTATACAAGGGAAGGTGTTACTAGTACCTTGCTGCCAGAATTTAGTAATTTATACAAGGGAAGGTGTTACTAGTACCTTGCTGCCAGAATTTAGTAATTTATACAAGGGAAGGTGTTACTAGTACCTTGCTGCCAGAATTTAGTAATTTATACAAGGGAAGGTGTTACTAGCACCTTGCTGCCAGAATTTAGTAANTTTATACAAGGGAAGGTGTTACTAGTACCTTGCTGCCAGAATTTAGTAATTTATACAAGGGAAGGTGTTACTAGCACCTTGCTGCCAGTATTTTAGTTACCTCTTATGACACATCTGACTTACTGGGGAAGGATTCTAACCCACTTTCCATGGAAGTGGAAAATGGAATATTATATACACATGTATTAATAAATCTGCAATGGGTACACTTGTATCTTATAAAGCACTGTGGTTAATTTATTACACAGTACAGTGGTACCTCAGGATGCGAACAGCTCAGAACTCGAACAATTACGTAAGTGCTTTTGTAAGTGTATTTTTGGGAGTCTGAAACGGATTAAACTAATTTACATTATTCCTTATGGGAACAAATTAGTTCGGAATCGGCACTCAAACAGCCTTTTGGAACAAATTAAGTTCGTATCCCGAGGTACCACTGTATGTGTTCTCTCTCTGCTAAAACCTTAATATAGCAGCTCCCATATAACATTTTGGATTTTCTTCTTCAGTGACCTGGCCGTGTCCCACCGACAAAGGGCGATACAAAAAGAAAAACAAAAATTTTTTCTTTTTAAACTTGGTAATGCATTTTGGATATATGGCAGAAATGTTTAACCAAGAAGTATTTAATACAAATGACTAGGTCCCCTGTACCAAGACTGTCAGCGGTAGTATGTCTGATAGTCTCACCATACAACAGACCAAGTCTACTGTACAGTGGACCCCCGCATAACGATTACCTCCGAATGCGACCAATTATGTAAGTGTATTTATGTAAGTGCGTTTGTACGTGTATGTTTGGGGGTCTGAAAGGAATAATCTACTTCACAATATTCCTTATGGGAATAAATTTGGTCAGTACTGGCACCTGAACATACTTATGGAGTGAAAAAATATCGTTAACCGGGGGTCCACTGTATAAGATTTTGTCTGTCAGGGGAAATATACATGTCCAACAACCCCTCCATACAATAGACTTCGTGTCATTGGGTATTTTGCTAAACCGAGGTCTCACTACAGGTGCTTCTTGACTTAGAATGGGGTTACATTCCGATGAACTCAGCACGAGTTAAAAATATCGTAAGTAGAACATGAATACGATATGATAAATGGGTAAATGAATAACTATCACTGAAGAAATAAACAAATAATTACTTTAACTAAATATCGGTAATGAAAAGTAAATAAACGAATACAAGTTATGGACTCGTCACCTTCATGCCGAGTAATTAAGTTTCATCTCCAAAGGAATTCTTGCTACACCATCGTAAAGTCAAAATATCGTAAGTCAAGGATCACCTGTCCTTGCAACTCTCTCAACTTACTAACAAAATTAAAACACAAGAGGGTACCAACTTACATATACCAAACGCTACACACATGTCCACTTACAAACATTACATACAAACCAATCCAAGATGTACAACTATTGAGCTATAGTACAAATGTGTGAAACATAACCATTCTCTGTAATAAATAGTTGACCCTCGAATTTAGTCCTGCCTTTTCTGTATGCAAAACTATTTTTATCTACAAAATGTATTTTTTGTTAATATTTTTGGGTGTCTGGAATGGTTTAATTGGATTTACATTATTTCCTCTGGGAAATATTAACAAAAAATGCATTTTATAGATAATAAAAATAGTTTTGCATACAGAAAAGGCACGACTAAATTCGAGGGTCCACTGTATATACAAACAACTCGTCTGTATGTGTATATGGAATGGTCGGTATTACCAACAAATATGCTAGAGAGATACTCGCTCTAGAAAAAATTTATTACGTCCGTCTCCCCTCTGAGCAAAGCAAAATACAATAAAATACAATACTGTAGCCTCATTTATAAAGTTATTCTATAATAGTATTGCAGTTTTGGTGCAAATGCATTTGAAAAATTGCATTCAAAATCAAATACCGCATACGTGACGGCTTCTCAAAATGCTGTTCAGTTTTTGTTGAACTCTTTCAGTCACTTACGGAGCTCTATAAGAGAGTTTACTGTACTTTATATCCACATGATATAGTATATAGCTTTTACTAAACTGGACGACATTTAATGATATATGTGGACAGTGACTGTTTATGTGGCGCGCTCTAGCCTTTATCCAGAGGGGAAACTTCTAGAATAGATCTACCCAGGGGAAACATCTATAATAGATCTACCCAGGGGGAACATCTATAATAGATCTACCCAGGGGGAACATCTATAATAGATCTACCCAGGGGGAACATCTATAATAGATCTACCCAGGGGGAACATCTATAATAGATCTACCCAGGGAAACATCTATAATAGATCTACCCAGGGGGAACATCTATAATAGATCTACCCAGGGGAACATCTATAATAGATCTACCCAGGGGGAACATCTATAATAGATCTACCCAGGGGGAACATCTATAATAGATCTACCCAGGGGGAACGTAAAATAAAACTTATATCCTTTCAATTTCCGCTCCCTCGGAGTCAACTTAATACTGTACGATCAATTTGCACGACACAACTTTCAAGGGGATGATAGGTAATACCTTGTAGCTGAAGGGTTTTTGATCCAAGGAGTTGAATCTACCCCCTCCCACTCCCCGGATCAAACCTGATGACTTTCCACTCTCCAGACACAACGCGTACCATACACGTTTATCGTTTCCCCATAAATAATAACAATTATAATAATCTGCAAGAACCTCTGCCTATTGGAATACAACTTTAATCAAAATTTTTTAGGCCTATTAAAATTAAAGGTAAACAAGAAGCAACATTAAAAATCCTTTGTTATAAAAATTATACAACTATAGAAAAAAATCAACTCTATTTTAATACATTAAATTTATACAATTTATACAGTATAGGTGATGTATAATTCATAAAATTTACAAAATGAATTATTTTTGTATTTCCATTCATTGAAAAAGTGATTAAAGCTAATAAAACATTTATTTTTCACTAGTATAAATTTAAGTTTGACAAAAGTAGACGTCAGTCTATCTGAAAAGAGAGAAAAATTTATTATTAGCAAATTTATTGATTAGCAAAACAGGTCCACTGTGTAGTGGACCTGTTTTGCTAATCAGTGGCTTTCTTCAGTCCAATACTAGTTGAAGATCAGAAGTTTGAGGTTATCAATCCCTCAGGCTGGAGTTGAGGGATTGATCAGTGTTGATTGATGGACTGATCATGTTGATGCCAAGATGAGGGACTGTTTACCTCAAACTCCTTCTGATCTTCAACTATTCTTCTCCATATCAGACTGAAGAAGCCAGTGGATGGCAAAACATTTGCACAATAAAGATATCAAGTATCTAATATATCTAATTCATCAACTTGTCAATTCTCAGAGCCAGTTATCAACACTACTTAGTGTTGTCACTCGTGCAACTGTCTAAATGCAAAAGTCTGCAATTGACTAGTGAATTGCATTCTTGGTATTTTGCCTCCATGGCTAACACTCTCTGTCTGCACAGACTCGGCGCTCCGCTCACCTTTTCCCCTTATCAATTTTATGGTTGATTTGGTCTTTCACAGACCCGTCCGCTGACAACTCCACTCCCAAATATTATTATTATTATGAGCGTGTTAGATAGGAGTGAATGGAGACGAATGATACTTGGGACCTGACGATCTGTTGGAGTGTGAGCAGGGTAATATTTAGTGAAGGGATTCAGGGAAACCGGTTATTTTCATATAGTCGGACTTGAGTCCTGGAAATGGGAAGTACAATGCCTGCACTTTAAAGGAGGGGTTTGGGATATTGGCAGTTTGGAGGGATATGTTGTGTATCTTTATACGTATATGCTTCTAAACTGTTGTATTCTGAGCACCTCTGCAAAAGCAGTGATAATGTGTGAGTGTGGTGAATGATGATAAAAGTATTTTCTTTTTGGGGATTTTCTTTCTTTTTTGGGTCACCCTGCCTCGGTGGGAGACGACCGACTTGTTGAAAAAAAAAAAAAAAATTATTATGGTATAAACCTTGGTAATAAATACCGACAAGTTGGTTTCGAAAGACACGTAAGCAAACACTGACATATTTATTAGAAAACGTTTCGGTCCTGGAACCTTGATCAAGGTTCCAGGACTGAAACGTTTTCTAATAAATATGTCATAGTGTTTTCTTACGTGTCTTTCTAAACCATGATATTATTATACACAGTACAGACGGCCCCCAACATGTAAGTCGAGGTCTTACTGTATCTCACCACCTTCATTTCCTCCATTGTATCTGATATCTTGTCACTTCCTAAATTTTATGTTACTCTCAAGGGGGGTCTAGTTGGAAAAATTTAGATTAAGAAAGGAATTGCAATATATTTCCAGCCATCTTGCAGAGTGCAGGCACTGTACTTCCCATCTCCAGAGTGCAGGTACTGTATGTACTTCCCACCTCCAGAGTGCAGGTACTGTATGTACTTCCCACCTCCAGAGTGCAGGCACTGTACTTCCCATCTCCAGAGTGCAGGTACTGTATGTACTTCCCACCTCCAGAGTGCAGGTACTGTATGTACTTCCCACCTCCAGAGTGCAGGTACTGTATGTACTTCCCACCTCCAGAGTGCAGGCACTGTACTTCCCACCACCAGAGTGCAGGCACTGTACTTCCCACCTCCAAAGTGCAGGCACTGTACTTCCCACCACCAGAGTGCAGGCACTGTACTTCCCACCACCAGAGTGCAGGCACTGTACTTCCCACCACCAGAGTGCAGGCACTGTACTTCCCACCACCAGAGTGCAGGCACTGTACTTCCCACCACCAGAGTGCAGGCACTGTACTTCCCACCTCCAAAGTGCAGGCACTGTACTTCCCACCACCAGAGTGCAGGCACTGTACTTCCCACCACCAGAGTGCAGGCACTGTACTTCCCACCTCCAGAGTGCAGGCACTGTACTTCCCACCACCAGAGTGCAGGCACTGTACTTTCCCCCACCAGAGTGCAGGCACTGTACTTCCCAAACCCCCAAGTGCAGGCACTGTACTTCCCACCACCAAGTGCAGGCACTGTACTTCCCACCACCAGAGTGCAGGGACTGTACTTCCCACCACCAGAGTGCAGCACTGTACTTCCCACCACCAGAGTGCAGCACTGTACTTCCCCACCCCCCAGAGTGCAGGCACTGTACTTCCCACCACCAGAGTGCAGGGACTGTAAATTCCCACCACCAGAGTGCAGGCACTGTACTTTCCCACCACCAGAGTGCAGGCACTGTACTTCCCACCTCCAAAGTGCAGGCACTGTACTTCCCACCACCAGAGTGCAGGCACTGTACTTCCCACCACCAGAGTGCAGGCACTGTACTTCCCACCTCCAGAGTGCAGGCACTGTACTTCCCACCACCAGAGTGCAGGGACGTACTTCCCACCACCAGAGTGCAGGCACTGTACTTCCCACCTCCAGAGTGCAGGGACTGTAAATTCCCACCACCAAGTGCAGGCACTGTACTTCCCACCACCAAGTGCAGGCACTGTACTTCCCACCACCAAGTGCAGGCACTGTACTTCCCACCACCAGAGTGCAGGCACTGTACTTCCCACCTCCAGAGTGCAGGGACTGTAAATTCCCACCACCAGAGTGCAGGCACGTACTTCCCACCACCAGAGTGCAGGCACTGTACTTCCCACCACCAAGTGCAGGCACTGTACTTCCCACCACCAGAGTGCAGGCACTGGGACTTCCCACCCCAGTGCAGGGACTGTACTTCCCACCTCCAGAGTGCAGGCCACTGTACTTCCCACCACCAGAGTGCAGGCACTGTAAATTCCCACCACCAGAGTGCAGGCACTGTACTTCCCCCCACCAGAGTGCAGGCACTGTACTTCCCACCACCAGAGTGCAGGCACTGTACTTCCCACCACCAGAGTGCAGGGATGTACTTCCCACCTCCAGAGGCAGGCACTGTACTTCCCACCACCAGAGTGCCCGGCACTTACTTCCCACCACCAGAGTGCAGGCACTGTACTTCCCACCTCCAGAGTGCAGGCACTGTACTTCCCACCACCAGAGTGCAGGCACTGTACTTCCCACCACCAGAGTGCAGGCACTGTACTTCCCACCACCAGAGTGCAGGCACTACTGTATTCCCACCACCAGAGTGCAGGCACTGTACTTCCCACCACCAGAGTGCAGGCACTGTACTTCCCACCACCAGAGTGCAGGCACTGTAAATTCCCACCACCAGAGTGCAGGCACTGTACTTTTCCCACCACCCGAGTGCGGCACTGTACTTCCCACCTCCAAAGTGCAGGCACTGTACTTCCCACCACCAAAAGTGCAGGCACTGTACTTCCCACCACCAGAGTGCAGGGACTGTTTCTTCCCACACTCCAGAGTGCAGGCACTGTACTTCCCACCACCAGAGTGCAGGCACTGTACTTCCCCCCACCAGAGTGCAGGCACTGTACTTTCCCACCTCCAAGTGGGAGGCACTGTACTTTCCCACCACCAGAGTGCAGGCACTGAAATTCCCACCACCAGAGTGCAGGCACTGTACTTCCCACCACCAGAGTGCAGGCACTGTACTTCCCACCACCAGAGTGCAGGCACTGTACTTCCCACCTCCAGAGTGCAGGCACGTACTTCCCACCCCCCCCAAGTGCAGGCACTGTACTTCCCACCACCAGAGTGCAGGCACTGTACTTCCCACCACCAGAGTGCAGGCACTGTACTTCCCACCACCAGAGTGCAGGCACTGTACTTCCCACCACCAGAGTGCAGGCACTGTACTTCCCACCTCCAGAGTGCAGGCACTGTACTTCCCACCACCAGAGTGCAGGCACTGTACTTCCCACCACCAGAGTGCAGGCACTGTACTTCCCACCACCAGAGTGCAGGCACTGGGACTTCCCACCACCAGAGTGCAGGCACTGGTACTTCCCACCTCCAGAGTGCAGGCACTGTACTTCCCACCACCAGAGTGCAGGCACTGTACTTTCCCACCACCGAGTGCAGGCACTGTACTTCCCACCACCAGAGTGCAGGCACTGTACTTCCCACCACCAGAGTGCAGGTACTCTACTTCCCCACCACCAGAGTGCAGGCACTGTACTTCCACCACCAGAGTGCAGGCACTGTACTTCCCCCCCACCAGAGTGCAGGCACTGTACTTCCCACCTCCAGAGTGCAGGCACTGTACTTCCCCCCCCCAGAGTGCAGGCACTGTACTTCCCACCACCAGAGTGCAGGCACTGTACTTCCCACCACCAAAAGTGCAGGCACTGTACTTCCCACCACCAGAGTGCAGGCCCCTGTACTTCCACCACCAGAGTGCAGGCACTGTACTTCCCACCACCAAGGCAGGCACTGTAAATTCCCCACCACCAGAGTGCAGGCACTGTACTTCCCACCACCAGAGTGCAGGCACTGTACTTCCCACCCACCCGAGTGCAGGCACTGTACTCCCACCACCAGAGTGCAGGCACTGTACTTCCCACCACCAAGTGCAGGCACGTACTTCCCACCTCCAGAGTGCAGGCACTGTACTTCCCACCCACCAGAGTGCAGGCACTGTACTTTCCCACCACCAGAGTGCAGGCACTGTACTTTCCCACCACCAGAGTGCAGGCACTGTACTTTTCCCACCACCAGAGTGCAGGCACTGTACTTTTTCCCCCCACCAGAGTGCAGGCACTGTACTTCCCACCACCAGAGTGCAGGCACTGTACTTCCCACCACCAGAGTGCAGGCACTGTACTTCCCACCACCAGAGTGCAGGCACTGTACTTCCCACCTCCAGGATTCAAGTTCAGCTAACCTGAATCCCTTCATAAATGTTACTTTACTCACACTTCAACAACGCTTACGTTTCAGTATATATACTTGCTCTATGCATCTATCCTTCATTAAGTTTCCTCATTACTCCACAATTCCTAAATTTTGTCCATACTGATTTGTAGCAGTTTTCACATTTGGAAAATTTAATACCATTGGATCAAAAATAAAACAATGAAAAAAGTGCTACGGTATCTTATTTTTTTTTTAACAAGTCGGCGGTCTCCCACCGAGGCAGGGTGATCAGTGCTTAAAATAGATACAAAAACCTATGTGTTTTGCAGGCCTATGCACACAACTTACAGGCACTCTACTGATGCTACAGCTCTTGGGTCTCCTCTAGAAGTGAGAGTGGCACAGCAGAGGCAGCAAGGTGGCTCTGGCTGGGACTACCAATGATGTACGGTGCGATGCACACGTGTGCGTACATCCCGATGCACTCGATGATCCAGTCATGAGCCACGCACACTTTCTTGTATTTGTCCAGCAGTTCTGAAACATTATTATTATTATTATTAAATCAGGGTACAGGTGAAAGTCGATTTTTTTTTTCAATGAACCGGCTGTATCCCACCGAGGGATATAGCCGGTTCATTGGAAAAAAATATTTTTGTTTTTCTTTTCACATTACTAAATGTAAAACAAAAACCAAAAGCTTTTCTTTTTACATTTCGTAATTTACACAGGTGTTACTAGCACCTTATTGCCAGCATCTTGATCACCTCTTGCAACATGCAAGATTTACGTACGAACGATTTATCTATAATTGATGTCCAATTTATGGGTCGGATGCACACTATATAAATAAACATTATTAAAGACAAAGATTTACACAGACAGATATATATATATTGAAAGACTTCTAACTTTCAACATTCAATGTAAAGATATCTTAAGTGAAACCTAAACAGAACATGTTTGAGAATACTTTAAACGTTCTGTGACTAGTAAGCTACAGCAACAAATCTAAATCAATCTCTACATTCTGTAACTAGTAACCTTCAAAACACTAGTAAGCTACAATAATGAATCTAAAACTACATACATTAGTTCCCCGTATCCGTGGGGATGCGTTCCAACACTTACCGTGGATGACCGAAACCGTGGACAGTAGCGAACCTTGTATATAACTCGTTTTTCGTTAACATACATGCCTATGATAAAGTTTAATTAATAAATTACACACAAAAACTGGAGAATTATGACTTTATTCACTGATGGGAAGCACTTCAAGGCTTCTCTTAGACTTTGAACAACTGTCACCATCACTACTTTTGTGCTTCGGGGTCACTGTAAACCTTGGTTAACTGAAACCATGGCAACCAGACCTGTGGATACAGTGGCCCTACTGTATGGCAACCAGACCTGTGGATACAGTGGCCCTACTGTATGGCAACCAGACCTGTGGATACAGTGGCCCTACTGTATGGCAACCAGACCTGTGGATACAGTGGCCCTACTGTATGGCAACCAGACCTGTGGATACAGTGGCCCTACTGTATGGCAACCAGACCTGTGGATACAGTGGCCCTACTGTATGGCAACCAGACCTGTGGATACAGTGGCCCTACTGTATGCAACCAGACCTGTGGATACAGTGGCCCTACTGTAATGGCAACCAGACCTGTGGATACAGTGGCCCTACTGTAATGGCAACCAGACCTGTGGATACAGTGGCCCTACTGTATGGCAACCAGACCTGTGGATACAGTGGCCCTACTGTATGGCAACCAGACCTGTGGATACAGTGGCCCTACTGTATAAACTAAAATATTTTTGGAACTAGTAACCTTCAAAATGGAACAAAAATATTTGAAAACAGTTCAACACTCTGCAACTAATAAGATAAAAACTGAATTGGAAAAAAATCTTTATTAAGCACTAAATACAGTGGAACCCTGGTACTCGAACTTTATTCATTCCAGAAGGCTGTTCAAGTGCCAATCCGTTTGAGTGTTGAATGAATTCTTCCCAACCAATTTTCTGTTTGACTCAAGAAATCGTAATGACACGATTGCAAATAAACCATACCCCCGGCCGGGATTGAACCCGCTGGAGATTCGTCTGTAAAAACTTGCATTTGTGGTCACAGAGGTGCCTGTGCTAACCTTCCTATGGTGTAGAAATATACCAAGTTGGATGAATCTTATTGTGGCTAGCTGGTCTAGTGGCTAACGCGACGGGCTGAGTTTTGAGACTATGACCGCGGGTTCAATCCCAGCCGGGGGTATGGTTTAAATTTCTGTTTGTTTGGCTGTTATCACTAATCTTTGTAGGCCCCACGGTTACTTAGTTATACAAGTAATATACACCAAAAAATACGAAGAAACACAAAAAAGTTTACAGCTAAGTTATGGCAGGTTGTGTTTGTCTGGTCGAGTGCCGAGCTTTGTTCGAGTAGGGAGCTGTTCCAGTACCAAGGTTCCACCATATTTTTGTAATTACTAACCTTGAGGATTGTGATCACTATCAGTCTGGACCACAACAAGCTTCACTGACTGCTTATTCTTACTAAACTTGACTGGAGACTCCACAACTTGAGCACCACACAACTGGATCAGTTCCTTATGGGTGAAGAAATAATTCAATAATAAGCAATGTAGTCAAGGTCCAAAATTCTGAATTAATAAAAGATATATAGAGAAGTTCCCCCATATCTGTAGATGATATGTTCCAAGACCTACCGTGGATGCCGGAAACCGTGGATAATAGCGAACACTATACACAAGTCATTTTTCGTTTACGTACATTTTTTTTTTTAACACGTCAGCCGTTTCCCACCGAGGCAGGGTGACCCAAAAAGAAAGAAAAAACTTTCATCATCATTTAACACTTTCACCATCACTCATACATAATGACTAACTTTCATCATCATTTAACACTTTCACCATCACTCATATATAATGACTGTCTTTGCAGAGGCGCTCAGGTACGACACGTGTAGATGTCACTCCAAACAGCCACATATATACTTACCTATGATAAAATTTAATTAATAAATTACACACAATAACTGGAGAATTATCACTTTTTCACTTGTGCACTCTGGTGCCATTATTAAGCAAAATTAAGGGGTATTTCCTAGCCAGGTTAAACCACAGAAACCAAGTCCATGGATACTGGGGTTCCACTGTATAGTATATATTATTTGAATGCACTGGTTGTCTCCCACTGAGGCAGGGTGACCAAATTTTTTTTTTTTTTTACACTTAGCAATTTATACAGGGAAAGGGGTTACTAGCACCTTGCTGCCAGCATTTTGGTTGCCCATCAGGGACTATCAGTCCCTGCTGGACTGATCAAGTCCACAGCGGACAAAATGTAGTCTTGATTAATGCCACAAACTACATATTGTGCCTTATCAAAAAAGCACTGCTAGGTTCGTAGAGGAGTAAGTATCGTACCTTCAGTTGTTCTAGGGTCACCTCAACACACGGAGGCTTGACGTAAAATTCGTAATCGTTAAAGAGCTGCAGGGGTTTAGTGCGACTTCTGTGAGGTCCAGGAGCCCCGGTACAATCCAGTACTTCATAGTCCTCCTGCAGGTAACATTAAAATTACTGCTAAGCTTCTGACCTTTGTAAATAAATAAAAAATTATTTCTTTTCTGCAGTACAGTAAGTCCTCGACTTACTGTACTGTGTAGGTTATCATTATATCATACGGTAAGTCCTCGACTTACTGCATTGTGTAGGTTATCATTATATCATACGGTAAGTCCTCGACTTACTGTATTGTGTAGGTTATTATTATTGTGTATACTATCATTATTCAGGTCCCCAACGTGTTTGTAAGTTGAGCACTTAATGTATACAGGTCAGTAATCCCACTTAACCGAACATCAATGAATCAGTATCAAGTACAATATTTCTACAAGTACATGCAGTGCTGTATGACTCTTACGAGTTTAGCACTTAGTTACGATCACAATAATAACCTACAAGTACACGGTAAAACTTATACAGACCATAGCTGACACCAATGACATACTATATAAAAAGTCCCCCTGGTTATACAAAATATTTTGGGCAACAGTATTAATACACTTAAAATTGTACTATTGTTCACTTAACTAACTCTCCTTTTTGTACATTTAACCCTTAAACGGTCCAAACAGATCGACGTTCAAATTCGTACTGCTGCAAAAGTAGATCTACGTTTTTTTACATATTTTCAAAAAAAAAAAAAAAAAAAAAAAAAAAAAAAAAAAAAAAAAAAAAAAAAAAAAAAAAAAAAAATTAGATAAAAGTTTTTTTCACACAATTTTAAATGTAAAACAAGAAAGAAGATCTACATTTTTTCACATACTTTCAAATGTTGAAAAAACGTATACAGTGGACCCCCGCATAACGATCACCTCCGAATGTGACCAATTATGTAAGTGTATTTATGTAAGTGCGTTTGTATGTGTATGTTTGGGGGTCTGAAATGGACTAATCTACTTCACAATATTCCTTATGGGAACTAATTCGTTCAGTACTGGCACCTGAACATACTTCTGGAGTGAAAAAATATCGTTAACCGGGGGTCCACTGTATATACGTTTGGACCATTTAAGGGTTAAAAACTAGTGATAAACCATACCACGGGCGGGACTGAACCCGCGGTCAGAGAGTCTCAAAACTCCAGACCGTCGCGTTAGCCACTGGACCAGCTAGCCACAATAAGATTCGTCCAACTAGGTTCAATCCCGCCCGTGGTATGGTTTGTTTGCAATCGTGTCATTACGATTTTGTGAGTCATACTAGTGATATACAGTGGACCCCCGCATAACGATTACCTCCGAATGCGACCAATTATGTAAGTGTATTTATGTAAGTGCGTTTGTACGTGTATGTTTGGTGGTCTGAAATGGACTAATGTACTTCACAATATTCCTTATGGGAACAAATTCGGTCAGTACTGGCACCTGAACATACTTCTGGAGTGAAAAAATATCGTTAACCAGGGGTCCACTGTATTACCTGTATAATGCAGGAAAGAAATACAGTTTCTGTATTACACGTATGTATTTCCTGTCTACAATTTACAGGTAACGTAATTTGCATTTTTTTAAATGCATCAGCCATCTCCCACCATGGAAAGGTGACCAGAGAAAGAAGAAACACTTCCACCATCACTCACTCCATCACTGCCTTACCAGAGGCATGCAGATACTATTGCTTAAATACTACTTAACAACTAGACATGGGATATTAAGTAGTTTTAAATGAGTGTAAATTAAAAGTAATTCTGAGATGATATACTCATCTCTGTGAGATGATATACTCATCTCTGTGAGATGATATACTCATCTCTGTGAGATGATATACTCATCTCTGTGAGATGATATACTCACCTCTGTGAGATGATATACTCATCTTTGGGAGACAATATACTCACTTCTGTGAGATGATATACTCATCTCTGTGAGATGATGCTCATCTCTGTGAGATGATGCTCATCTCTGTGAGATGATATACTCATCTCTGTGAGATGATGCTCATCTCTGTGAGATGATATACTCATCTCTGTGAGATGATATACTCACTTCTGTGAGATGATATACTCATTTTTGGGAGATGATATACTCACTTCTGGGAGAAGTTTGTGAGTGGAGAGTGAGTCCAGTACCCACTGGTGAGTAATAACCCAGCACCCGGCCGCTACCCCATACAGGAACTTCAGTGTCCGCTGGGCCGAGCGATCTGGCCCAGTCTTCACCACGACATGAGTGATGTCTCGGCCCCACGACCTCCTAACAGATGATCCGCTGGCTCCTAATTTCCTCACTAGGTCCTCCACTTTACCCATTTCCAGACCAGAGAGACCAGTGCAGACCACTTGAGGTGGACCACCAAGACCACTGTGTATTCTTCTGGCCACCACAGACCTGAAACGTTATAGATTTATAGTGTTTAAGTTGAGGATTTTGTGTATTGTGAATATTGTACACTGATTCAGGTCCCCAATGTGTTTGTAAGTTGAAGACTTCCTGTATCGTCAGGGAAAACAACACTAACCTCGGCGTTACAGTGCAAGTGCTACTCGGCGGTAATTTGGGTTCCGTTGATTCGGTGAGGTCAGGAAAACTGGAGAAGAGTTCCTCGGACTCGTCGCCGCTGTCACTTGATGGGCTCTGGGGAGGCACCACATCGCTTTTGGTACTAGCCTCGCCTACAGAAAATATAAAAGCCATGCCACTTACTGGAACATTATCATTTTTATTACTACACTTCCAGGACTTGAGTCCTGGAAATGGGAAGTACAATGCCTGCACTTTAAAGGAGGGGTTTGGGATATTGGCAGTTTGGAGGGATATGTTGTGTATCTCTATACGTATATGCTTCTAAACTGTTATATTCTGAGCACCTCTGCAAAAGCAGTGATAATGTGTGAGTGTGGTGAAAGTGTTGAATGATGATGAAAGTATTTTCTTTTTGGGGATTTTCTTTCTTTTTTTTTTGGGTCACCCTGCCTCGGTGGGAGACGACCGACTTGTTGAAAAAAAAAAAAAAAAAAAAATTATTATTACAATTAGGTAGTAGGTTGGTAGACAGCAACCTCCCAGGGAGGTACTACCATCCTGTGGTAGTAGGTTGGTAGACAGCAACCACCCAGGGAGGTACTACCATCCTGTGGTAGTAGGTTGGTAGACAGCAACCTCCCAGGGAGGTACTACCATCCTGTGGTAGTAGGTTGGTAGACAACAACCACCCAGGGAGGTACTACCATCCTGTGGTAGTAGGTTGGTAGACAGCAACCTCCCAGGGAGGTACTACCGTCCTGTGGTAGTAGGTTGGTAGACAACAACCACCCAGGGAGGTACTACCATCCTGTGGTAGTAGGTTGGTAGACAGCAACCACCCAGGGAGGTACTACCATCCTGTGGTAGTAGGTTGGTAGACAGCAACCACCCAGGGAGGTACTACCATCCTGTGGTAGTAGGTTGGTAGACAGCAACCACCCAGGGAGGTACTACCATCCTGTGGTAGTAGGTTGGTAGACAGCAACCACCCAGGGAGGTACTAGCTAAGTTTGTATGGAAAGAAGAACATGAGTTGGCTCACGAAAAATTAAAGGCTGAGCTTACAAGTGAGCCGGTATTAGTGGTCCTTGATTTTTCCAGAGACTTTGAGATACATACAGACGCTTCAGCAGTTGCAATAGGAGGTTGCCTAATGCAAAGAGACAAGGAAAATAACCCACACCCAGTAGCGTATTTTAGCAGAAAGATTAAAGGACCGGAAGTCAGGTATGCATCACTGATAAAGAAGCCTTGGCAGTGGTAGAAAGTGTGAGATACTTTGAACCGTATGTATTTCAGCGCCATTTTAAAATAATAACAGATCACAGGGCATTGGTGCACATATTTAAAAAGAAAACTCGCTGTCCTAGGATGTCTAGATGGGGTTACGAACTGTCAGCACACTCGTACCAGATTCTTTATAAACCAGGAGCCTCACACCATGTACCAGACATATTGAGTAGGAATGTAGCAGCAATAAATGTTGATGTTAATATTGAGAATGTGAGGGATGGGAGGTTTTCTTTTAGTTCCTAGAAATGGGATAATGATTGGTCCTGGTTGCAATTCCTGCCTTGTCATGAATGGTCACGGTAGGGTGCAAGGAAAATGCGACATTGTGGTCGTGTAATGGTTCAGTTGCAAGTACTTGAAGGAGTAATACCCGCTGGAGCTGTTTTCTACGCCAGGAAAACCTTACGAGGTTCGGCTCAATGGTTAATTAGCGAGGGTGACTACAGGAGCTAGTTTATTTCTAGTAGAGTACAGGAAGGCACTGGAGCCTGATATTTAGTTTTAAGGAGACATGACGGATAAGGAGGTTTCGCACCAGAGTCATTGTTATTCGTTTCTTGTGCTAGAATTTATTAAACCTACTGATCTGTGTGAATTCATATTATTTGCTATTGTATTGTAATAGAATAAAAGGGTTAGGATTAAAATAGTCTAATAACTTAGGACAAATTGTCCTAGTTCCCAGATATTTTAAATTGGGGGAGAAAGGGGGATGTGATGCAGTTCAGATGGGCTTGTGAGGTCTCTAGGGAGACCTAATTATATGGTCACAGTTAACGGTAAAACAAATGATAGGCGACACATAGAAATTAATATTTGGTTTTGATAGCAAAAACCGACCAGTCATAAAGCATGTGAGCCGCGTTTAATGATAAACGCTAAACCGCTGCCACCATGTGAGACCTCTACCCACTCTACCTGAGGTATCCCAGCGAGTGAGCACGTCTCCTGTATATCCCAGTGCTTAACAGAATAGGGAATAGCATATGAAGGTACTAATAAAAATGGGAACTATGGCTATAGTTTACTTAATAACATAAAAGGGCTAGAATACAACATATCCTGAAGGAAATTTACACAATATAACAATTGACCTATGAGACTTATTACCAGGGGGAAGGGTAGATGCTATCAGTAACACGGACTAGTACTCACTCTTAATTCACCGACCAGCTGACCCGAGATTCCCAATGCGTGGTCCACTACACACGCGGCTGTCCAGAGATCTCGCTCCCCAGACCTGTCACCAACAACCTCTTTGCCCCGCTGTTCCCTGGGCTTATATCGTAGTCAAAGTACCCCCTCCCCAATTGTGTATGTACCAGGTGTTACAACCTGACGCCGAGGTCTGACACCGTTAAGAACAAAAGACCTCAGACATGGGCTTGACTACCCGACATTTGCTAAGGCAGGTGTGACCATATAATTAGGTCTCCCTAGAGACCTCACAAGCCCATCTGAACTGCATCACACGTCCTGTGGTAGTAGGTTGGTAGACAGCAACCACCCAGGGAGGTACTACCATCCTGTGGTAGTAGGTTAGTAGACAACAACCACCCAGGGAGGTACTACCATCCTGTGGTAGTAGGTTGGTAGACAGCAACCTCCCAGGGAGGTACTACCGTCCTGTGGTAGTAGATTGGTAGACAGCAACCTCCCAGGGAGGTACTACCATCCTGTGGTAGTAGGTTGGTAGACAGCAACCACCCAGGGAGGTACTACCGTCCTGTGGTAGTAGGTTGGTAGACAGCAACCACCCAGGGAGGTACTACCATCCTGTGGTAGTAGGTTGGTAGACAACAACCACCCAGGGAGGTACTACCATCCTGTGGTAGTAGGTTGGTAGACAGCATCCTCCCAGGGAGGTACTACCATCCTGTGGTAGTAGGTTGGTAGACAGCAACCTCCCAGGGAGGTACTACCATCCTGTGGTAGTAGGTTGGTAGACAGCAACCACCCAGGGAGGTACTACCGTCCTGTGGTAGTAGGTTGGTAGACAGCAACCACCCAGGGAGGTACTACCATCCTGTGGTAGTAGGTTGGTAGACAGCAACCACCCAGGGAGGTACTACCATCCTGTGGTAGTAGGTTGGTAGACAGCAACCACCCAGGGTGGTACTACCATCCTGTGGTAGTAGGTTGGTAGACAGCAACCACCCAGGGAGGTACTACCGTCCTGTGGTAGTAGGTTGGTAGACAGCAACCACCCAGGGAGGTACTACCATCCTGTGGTAGTAAGTTGGTAGACAGCAACCACCCAGGAAGGTACTACCATCCTGTGGTAGTAGGTTGGTAGACAGCAACCACCCAGGGAGGTACTACCGTCCTGTGGTAGTAGGTTGGTAGACAACAACCACCCAGGGAGGTACTACCGTCCTGTGGTAGTAGGTTGGTAGACAACAACCACCCAGGGAGGTACTACTGTCCTGTGGTAGTAGGTTGGTAGACAACAACCACCCAGGGAGGTACTACTGTCCTGTGGTAGTAGGCTGGTAGACAGCAACCACCCAGGGAGGTACTACCGTCCTGTGGTAGTAGGTTGGTAGACAGCAACCTCCCAGGGAGGTACTACTGTCCTGTGGTAGTAGGTTGGTAGACAACAACCGCCCAGGGAGGTACTACCATCCTGTGGTAGTAGGTTGGTAGACAGCAACCACCCAGGGAGGTACTACTGTCCTGTGGTAGTAGGTTGGTAGATAGCAACCACCCAGGGTGATACTACCGTCCTGTGGTAGTAGGTTGGTAGACAGCAACCACCCAGGGAGGTACTACCATCCTGTGGTAGTAGGCTGGTAGACAGCAACCATCCAGGGAGGTACTACCATCCTGTGGTAGTAGGTTGGTAGACAACAACCACCCAGGGAGGTACTACTGTCCTGCCAAGTGAGTGTAAAACGAAAGCCTGTAATTGTTTTACATGATGGTAGGATTGCTGGTGTCCTTTTTTCTGTCTCATAAACTTGCAAGATTTCAGGTACATCTTGCTACTTCTACTTACACTTAGGTCACACTACACATACATATACAAACATATATATACACACCTCTCTGGGTTTTCTTCTATTTTCTTTCTAGTTCTTGTTCTTGTTTATTTCCTCTTATCTCCATGGGGAAGTGGAACAGAATTCTTCCTCCATAAGCCATGCGTGTTGTAATATTTCCCATAAGAAATAATGTAAATCCAATTAATCCGTTCCAAACACCCAGGAGGCAGTGGAGATATTATGTCTGAGGGAAAAGTATGGTGTGAAATTATGTAGAGAATTTGGAGCTTGGTTCAGTGGTTAGCACACTTGCCTGCTAGTCTTAGCACTGGCTTACCATGGGTTTGAACCCTCCATGCTGTGTGCTGTTTACAATTGTGCCATTACAATTTCTTGAGTTATTTCACACTTTTGTTTATTTTTTAACACACCCGTCATCTCTCACCAAGGTAAGGTGACCCAAAAAGAAACACTTTCACCATCATTCACACTACTACTGCCTTGCCAGAGGCACGTAGATACAACAGCTTATATATTTCTGAAAACAGCAAATATCCCAAACCCATCCTTCAGAGTGCAGGCATTGTACTTCCCACCTCCAGGACTCAAGTCCGACTAACGGGTTTCCCTGAATCCCTTCACAAAATATTACCCTGCTCGCACTCCAACAGCTCATCAAGTCCCAAAAACTATGTAAATGTGCCTACTGAACATTCAGTCAATTATATAACTGAAAATTTGGTATCCCAGGCTAAGAGAAAGTCTATACAATATAATCTATACATATAATTCTTTTTTTTAATTAACACATCGGCAGTTTCCCACCAAAATAGAGTGACCCGAAAAAGAAAAACTTTCATCATCATTCACTCCATCACTGTCTTGCCTGAGGCATGCTTACACTACAGTTATAAAACTGCAACATTATTGTATAATCTATACAATATAAACTATACAATATAATCTATACAATACAATCTATATAATACAATCTATACAATATAATCTATACAATACAATCTATACAACATAAGATAATTTATCCACCTCACCTGCTTCAGCAGCATTCTTCTTGACCATTGCTGCCTCCAGCTCTCGGACCCTGGCCTTCAGCATTTCAACCTCATCCTGTTGAGGACAGAGCATATTATAAACAAGTAGGGGATTATACAGCGTCAGGGGAGAGGGAGGTAGCAAAGTTCAACTGAGGGGAGAGGGAGGGAGGGAGGAGGAGAGGAGAGGGGAGAGAGAAGAGAGGAAAGCGAGGTCCAGATCCCTCATTGCTTAAAAAACAAAGAGGTGAGATACGAAGTTAACAGTGAACAATTACCAATTAAAATGAGAGAAGAGTTAAATATTCTGGTCATAGCTAATACCAACAAGTTAGAACTAATACCAACAAATACAATCCCACTTCATAGTCACTATATTGAAATGAAAATACAGAATGTAACATTATATTCATGGGTAAGCGCTAAACTCGTAGGGTTGACACAGTGGCTGGGGGACGGAAGTATTCAGGCTAACCAGTCAAGTGGTACATGTAGAAGTAGTACCTTGACTTGCTGTTGCTTCTGAGTACTGACTGCTTCACTCTGGGAAGAGTATGCACTACTGTGGCTAACATTATCCACTTCGTCCTCATCCTCCGCTGCACAATCCTCTGCTTCACCATCCTTCACTTCACTATCCACATCTTCGTCTGTACAGGAAAAACAACAATAAATAGGGAAAATATAAAAAATATTAATACCCATTATTACTGATTTTTATCTTCTGCACAAGACAATTTTTTTAGCCTCATTTGCTGTGTCAGGATGGCATAAAGAGGAAAATACATTCACCATCAATCATTCAGTGACTGTCTTTCAGGAATGTGATGACACCATGGTTCAGATGGCCCTCTGAACTATAACATTCTCAATCATCCTTCAGAGTACAGGCACTGTATTTCCCAACTCCAGAAGTGTAACATCCTCACTCATCCTACAGAATACAGGCACTGTACTAGTGTACTTCCCACCTCCATAACTGTAACATCCTCACTCATTCTTTAGAGTACTGGCAATGTACTTCCTACTTCCAGAACAGTAACATCCTCACTCATCCTTCAGAGTACAGGTACTGTACTTCCCACCTCAGAACTGTAACATCCTCACTCACCCTTCAGAGTACAGTACTGTACTTCCACCTCCAGAACAGTAACATCTCACTCATCCTTCAGAGTACAGGTACTGTACTTCCCACCTCCAGAACTGTAACATCCTCACTCATCCTTCAGAGTACAGGTACTGTACTTCCCACCTCCAGAACTGTAACATCCTCACTCATCCTTCAGAGTACAGGTACTGTACTTCCCACCTCCAGAACTGTAATTCCTCATCTCTTCAAGTACAGGTACTGTATTCCCACCTCCAGAACTGTAACATCCTCACTCATCCTTCAGAGTACAGTACTGTACTTCACCATCCAGAACATAACATCCTCATCTATCCTTCAGAGTACGGTACTGTACTTCCCACCTCCAGAACTTAACATCCTCAATCATCCTTCAGAGTACAGGTACTGTACTTCCCACCTCCAGAACAGTAACATCCTCCCTCATCCTTCAGAGTACAGGTACTGTACTTCCCACCTCCAGAACTGTAACATCCTCACTCATCCTTCAGAGTACTGGTACTGTACTTCCCACCTCCAGAACTGTAACATCCTCACTCATCCTTCAGAGTACAGGTACTGTACTTCCCACCTCCAGAACTGTAACATCCTCACTCATCCTTCAGAGTACAGGTACTGTACTTCCCACCTCCAGGACTCAAATCTAGTAACCAACTTCCCCTCTGCATACCTTGTTAAATGACCCCTTGCTCACACACTCCAAACCCACATACATATTTACCTCTGTTATCTTTACTGCTTGTTGGTGGTGTTGTGTTGGGTTTTATGCTGTTGCTCATGTCTGGTGCACAGCTGTTCTTTGCCTCTACAGGTGTGCACAGATCTTCAAACATTATACCGTCTCTATCTAGAAGAGCTTCGGCTTTAGTAAGGGATTTATCGACCTTTGTAAACAATTTATTTGTGGTAACAGAGAGGACTGTGTTGGTGGATATTACAGATTCCTGCGATGACATGTCAGTGGTCACTTCAGGAACCTTCAATTTTTCCTCACGCATTTGTTTAATTAGTAACATGTCAGCGTTGACATTGCGTATAACATCAGCTGTGCTGGACATCTCCTCATCATCAGAGGAGATGGAGAGAGTTGCCGGTGGAAGCTCGTCGTGGTCCGTTTGGTTGGAGTCCAAATCATCGATGACGTGGGAATTTTGGTTGACTCCTTTTTTATTTATACCTTCATCTGGGTGCCCAAAAAATTCCCAGACATTTTGGTCAAGCCTCTCCAGATCTCTCATCTCCTCAGAGTCGACAGGATACTCTTGCTCAATCTCAACTTTCATATTCCGTTTCTTCTGAACCGCAGAGGATTGGTTACTGCTGCCGCTGCTGGAAATGGATTTAGCTTTACGTTTTACTGGAGGAATGATCACTTCCAAATCACTGTCCTCACAGCTGGATCCTGAAGTTGATGGCCGACGAATTCTTTTGAACTTTCGTCTAGTCATATCGAATGAACTTCTCAGTGGACTATCATTATCCGTCTCTTCCAAATCTTTATCTTTCGCCGGACTACCTGCCATCATTTCGTTCCTCTGACCTTTGTTTGAACTTTTCACAGAGTCTGTGGGAAACAAAGATACAATTTTCTGACTCTCCTGGGGTAAACTGCTTTGTATTAAAGTCACTTCGTCCTTCTCATTGGGTGGTATCTTGCCATCTTTCATGACTTGGGACATGATATTTTCCAGCACTGGCTGCCCTGACTGTAAAGGTTTCCTTCGTGGTCTATTAATGGCCGGGTGTATTTTGCCATTCTTTTTTAAATTTTCCTTTTCAACATCCACCAACTCATTGCTAAGAATTGTTTTTGTTATCGCACATTTTTCTTTATTTTTTTGGTTTCCCTGTATTCTCCTTTCGGTCTTTTCCGCTGGCTTCTCGTCTGCCTTTGCACTTCCGCTTGCGCAACAAGCACGCCTGGCTCGTGTCATCCTGCCGTCAGCAACATCAGCCAGGAGACTTGCCGACTGTTGGCTGCTCTCTGTGTTCTGCGTCTGACATGCTGAAGAACTATTATTGCAAGTCATCAGTGCATAATTATCAATCAATATCTCTGATGACTGAGAGCATGATCCCAATGGTGCTAAATCAATACATAAATCCTCAACATGCTCGTCATGTGTTTTATTAGCAGACGTTTCCCGATTTGCATCTGTGTCTACATCACAGGCTGGCATTTCCTGCTGATCACCAGTATCTGGGGACTGCAGAGTTTTGACATGGGTATCAATTTTATCAGTAGGTAGCGGGATTGCTACATCCATTTCCTCAGTGGAGTAACTGCTGGGTACCACCTCATTCCCCTGGTTAGAGTGGACAGCTGTGGGTATCATGGGTAGCTGGTTAAAATCCCCCATTAATTTCACGTTGGAAAAGGAGTTTTCTGTCGTTTTCTCGGCCCTGGCTTCATGCTTATTTGACGACAGTTGATTATTAGATACATATTGGTCAAGTCCGTTTTTTTGAATGCTAAGTAAATCTTGAGTGCTAGGTTGTTCTCGATTGGTAGGTTCTAGAGTGCTAGGTTCTTCTCGATTGGTAGGTTCTAGAGTGCTAGGTTCTTCTTGATTGGTAGGTTCTTGAGTGCTAGGTTCTTCTCGATTGGTAGGTTCTAGAGTGCTAGGTTCTTCTTGATTGGTAGGTTCTTGAGTGCTAGGTTCTTCTCGATTGGTAGGTTCTTGAGTGCTAGGTTCTTGATTGATAGGTCTATCTTCTTGATTGCTAGTTTGTTGTTCTTCATTGCTAGGCCCAACATCTTGATTATTAGGTTGATCTTGCTTCTTAGGTTCAACTGGAGCAGCAATGTTACTGGTAGACAGCAAAGGTTCAGCAGATTCCAGAGGCATCTTGGCACCACAGGCTGCAGTTGTACAAGCCCTGCAGATATAAAAACCACAAGATTATAAATCTGACTTGTAATCATGATACAACATAGTATGCAGTAAATTTTTTTTAGTCATAACCTGGTTGATCAGCAAAGTAAAAAGTGAATTGTGGCTTCAACATACGTACAACACATGACTTAATCATCTGTGGTAGGCTCCTGAAGATAATAATCATGTACAGGTGCTCCTTGACTTACAATGGTTCAACTTTACGATGGTGCGGCAGCAATTACTTTGGAGGTGAAACTTAAGATAATTACCCAATATGAAGGTGACAAGTCACTAACTTGCAGTCATTTATTTACCTTTCAATACTGGTACTTAGTTACAGTAATTATTGGTTTATTTCTTTAGTCACAGTACAGCCTCTCCTCACTTAGCAACATACTCGTTTACTGACGACTTGGACTTACGATGGGCTCTCTGACCAGTATGAATACCCAAATAATGTATATTAGAGCTGATTTCCTATATTCTGTTTATTACAATGTACAGTACACTGCTGTATAAACATTTAAAAATATACCAGAAATGTTATAAATGGTGCAAATGTGATATTAAAACACTATCAAAGATGGTTGACACAAACCCACTACCATTATAGTGTGATCCTCACTTAGTGATGATTTTATTTACCGACGTTAAGTGAGGAGAGGATGCAGTCATTTCTGTACTCAGTTTTTTTAGAATATCATATTCATATTCGATTTACGATATTTTCAACTTACGATGGGTTCATAAGTCGAATCCATCAAAATGTAGCCCCCATCGTAAATAGAGGGGCGCCTGTATTTGCAATACAGGTCCATAACCCTTTATCCAAAATTCTGAAATTGGAAAAGTTCCGAAAACCAAAAGTTTTTGGTGGAGTGCAGAGCATCGGTCATCTCAGTGCTGGGTTACGCCACCACGTGACAGCGTTGAGAATCATTCTGAACTTCGAAAAATTCTAAAATTCTAAACAACACTGGCCCCAAGGGATTTGGATAAAGGGATGTGGACCTGTATACGTCGCCACCCATGTGTGATATTTATCAACCAAACGAATACAAGGGTGTATTTATTTGGCTCGGCTATATCAGGCAGAATAACAGCTCATAGTTCGTAAATTCATATGAATTTTACTTTTGAGAAGACAAGGAATACAGAACTTTAAATACAAAAGATATACATTGAAGAACAAGGTTTTATTTATTTTTTAACACAATGGTTGTCTCCCACTGAGGCACGGTGAACTGTAAAAGAAGAAATGCTTTCACCATCATTCATGCAATCACTGCCTTGTCAGAGGTGTTTTGACACTGTAGTTCAGATGACCCTTTGATGTGCAACATCCTCACACCCCTCTAGAGTGCAGGCACTGAGGTGGGAAGTACAGTGCCTGCACTCTGAAGGATGCATGGGGATGCTACAGTTGAGTGGGTCATTAAAACTGTCATGTCAGCATGCTTCTCACAAGACAGTGATTGAATGAATGATGATGAAAGTGTTTCCTCTTTTTCAAGTCACTCTACCTAGGTGATAAACAGATGTAGAATTTTATTAAATCCCAATAATACAGTGGACCCCCGGTTTACGATATTATTTCATTCCAGAAGTATGTTCAGGTGCCAGTACTGAATGAATTTGTTCCCATAAGGAATATTGTGAATTAGATTAGTCCATTTCAGACCCCCAAACATACACGTACAAACGCACCTACAAAAATACAATTACATAATTGGTCGCATTGGGAGGTGATCGTAAACAGGGGGTCCACTGTATTTCGTCATGAAGTGTGTTTACAGCCAGCTTCGAATTTTTAGAGTGAATAATGAATCCTGTGAAACAGCCGCACTACTCAAATCATACTATTTGAAATATTTACAATTTTTGCAAATGATCTGAAGAGTTTGGGGGGGAAACTAGCATTAATTAGTTTCACACTTAATCAAAATTCACACTATAGGAGGGCCCTGCTTACACAGCAGGTTAGGTTCCAGGTTACTGCTGTACAGGAGGGCTCTGCTTACACAGCAGGTTAGGTTCCAGGCTACTCCTATACAGGAGGGCCCTGCTTACACAGCAGGTTAGGTTCCAGGTTACTGCTGTACAGGAGGGCCCTGCTTACACAGCAGGTTAGGTTCCAGGTTACTGCTGTACAGGAGGGCCCTGCTTACACAGCAGGTTAGGTTCCAGGTTACTGCTGTACAGGAGGGCCCTGCTTACACAGCAGGTTAGGTTCCAGGCTACTCCTATACAGGAGGGACCTGCTTACAAAGCAGGTTAGGTTTCAGGCCACTGCTGTACAGGAGAGCCCTGCTGATACAGTAGGTTAGGTTCTGGACTACTGCTGTACAGGAGGGCCCTGCTTACACAACAGGTTAGGTTTCAGGCTACTGCTGTACAGGAGGGCCCTGCTGATACAGTAGGTTAGGTTCTGGACTACTGCTGTACAGGAGGGCCCTGCTGATACAGTAGGTTAGGTTCTGGACTACTGCTGTACAGGAGGGCCCTGCTTATACAGCAGGTTAGGTTCTGGACTACTGCTGTACAGGAGGGCCCTACTGATACAGTAGGTTAGGTTCTGGACTACTGCTGTACAGGAGGGCCCTGCTGATACAGCAGGTTAGGTTCTGGACTACTGCTGTACAGGAGGGCCCTGCTTATACAGCAGGTTAGGTTCTGGACTACTACTGTACAGGAGGGCCCTGCTGATACAGCAGGTTAGGTTCTGGACTACTGCTGTACAGGAGGGCCCTGCTTACACAGCAGGTTAGGTTCTGGACTACTGCTGTACAGGAGGGCCCTGCTTACACAGCAGTTAGTTCAGGCTACTCTGTCAGGAGCCTCTACACAGCAGGTTAGGTTCCAGGCTACTGCTGTACAGGAGAGCCCTGCTTATACAGCAGGTTAAGGCTACTGCTGTACAGGAGGGCCCTGCTTACACAGCAGGTTAGGTTCCAGGCTACTGCTGTACAGGAGGGCCCTGCTTATACAGCAGGTTAAGGCTACTGCTGTAAAACAAAAATTGCTGTAAATTGAATCACAGCTTTTTCTCACTTTCAAACAGATATAAAAGCCTGATAACAAGTTTACACTATCATATATTAAGTGAGCAATTGAGCCAGGCCTAAAAACTGCATACACAGTACACACAATACTTACCTTAAAATATTTTTGTCTTTAGCTTATGAGTGGTAAATACAGTGGACCCCTGCTTTACGATCAGCTCCCAATGCGACCAATTATGTAAGTGTATTTATTATAGTGCGTTTGTGCGTGTATGTTTAGTGGTCTGAAATGGACTAATCTAATTCACAATATTCCTTATGGGAGCAAATTCGTTCAGTAATGGCACCTGAACATACTTCTGGAATGAAATAATATTGTAAGCCGAGGGTCCACTGTATATTTATTGTATCAAGTCTGAATAAATAAACAATGGCTAGAAATGAAAACTGATGTACAGTGGACCCTCGAATTTAGTCGTGCCTTTTCTGTATGCAAAACTATTTTTATCTATAAAATGTATGTTTTGTTAATATTTCCCATAGGAAATAATGTAAATCCAATTAAACCATTCCAGACACCCAAAAATATTAACAATACATTTTATAGATAATAAAAATAGTTATGCATACAGAAAAGGCACGACTAAATTTGAGGGTCAACTGATGTATTAGCAAAATGCTGTAAAGTGGGGCCCTCATGTATTCATCACCTTGTTGTATTTTCTCAATTACAGTGGACCCCCGCATAACGATTACCTCCGAATGCGACCAATTATGTAAGTGTATTTAAGTAAGTGCGTTTGTACGTGTATGTTTGGTGGTCTGAAATGGACTAATCTACTTCACAATATTTCTTATGGGAACAAATTCGGTCAGTACTGGCACCTGAACATACTTCTGGAGTGAAAAAATATCGTTAACCGGGGGTCCACTGTATTGCTAGGATTATGTCTTCTGAATCCACAGAACCGAAATAGAATAAATATGCGCTGATATACTCACGTATGTTGCTGTTGTGAGAGTAAAAACGACATATATTTCATGAGCACTTGATATACTTCACAAGGGACTGTGTGCAGACAAAAGTCACGTCCAACGCCCCCGGCCGATTCAACGGGATTGACACTGTCCACTACTGTTCTGCAACTGTTGAAGAGGAACATGCTCAAGAGGATGGTTCATGTGGTTAAGATTGATCAGGAATTGTGGAATGACACCATACTTCCTTCCCACACTGTAGTTTGTTCCACAACAACCTTCAGGAGGGAGGGAAGAAATGGGCGTGAGGAAGGGAATGGGAGAGGGACAGAATTAGAGAGAATGGGGGAAGGAGAGAATAAGAGAGAATGGGGGAAGGAGAGAATAAGAGAGAATGGGAGAAGGAGAGAATAAGAGAGAATGGGGGAAGGAAATGGTAGAGAGGGAGAGAAAAAGAGTGAATGAGATAAAAAATAGAAGAGAGGGAGAGTAGGGATGGGAGAGGGAGTCCTATTTCTGTCACCCATATCATGTGTCAGATACTGAATGATGGGTGAGAATACAGAAGCAAATGGGAGAATAGGGAGTGAATACAAGAGAGAATAAGAGAGTTAGACAATGACAAACAAAAGAGAAGAGAAAGAGCTCATTTAAAATTACACAGTCCACTCTATCATCAAAAAATAAAATTAGATCCAAAACATTACAGTCCAGGAGAGCACCTACAGCCACAACACAGGTATTAATGGGGAAAATAGGTTACCAGCCCCAAACACCTCAGTAACAAACAATATAAATACTTATTTATTATTTTTATTATCACACTGGCCGATTCCCACCAAGGCAGGGTGGCCCGAAAAAGAAAAACTTTCACCATCATTCACTCCATCACTGTCTTGCCAAAAGGGTGCTTTACACTACAGTTTTTAAACTGCAACATTAGCACCCCTCCTTCAGAGTGCAGGCACTGTACTTCCCATCTCCAGGATTCAAGTCCGGCCTGCCAGTTTCCCTGAACCCCTTCATAAATGTTACTTTGCTCACACTCCAACAGCACGTCAAGTATTAAAAACCATTCGTCTCCATTCACTCCTATCAAACACGCTCACGCACGCCTGCTGGAAGTCCAAGCCCCTCGCACACAAAACCTCCTTTACCCCGTCCCTCCAACCTTTCCTAGGCCGACCCCTACCCCGCCTTCCTTCCACTACAGACTGATACACTCTTGAAGTCATTCTGTTTCGCTCCATTCTCTCTACTTGTCCGAACCACCTCAACAACCCTTCCTCAGCCCTCTGGACAACAGTTTTGGTAATCCCGCACCTCCTCCTAACTTCCAAACTACGAATTCTCTGCATTATATTCACACCACACATTGCCCTCAGACATGACATCTCCACTGCCTCCAGCCTTCTCCTCGCTGCAACATTCATCACCCACGCTTCACACCCATATAAGAGGGTTGGTAAAACATACTCTCATACATTCCCTCTTTGCCTCCAAGGACAAAGTTCTTTGTCTCCACAGACTCCTAAGTGCACCACTCACCCTTTTCCCCTCATCAATTCTATGATTCACCTCATCTTTCATAGACCCATCCGCTGACACGTCCACTCCCAAATATCTGAATACATTCACCTCCTCCATACTCTCTCCCTCCAATCTGATATCCAATCTTTCATCACCTAATATTTTTATCCTCATAACCTTACTCTTTCCTGTATTCACTTTTAATTTTCTTCTTTTGCACACCCTACCAAATTATAAATCGAAGCTTTAAGGTATATGTAATAACAGAACCCCTGTATCTGAGGGTCCAGTATCAGCGGTTTACCATGGCCCGAAAATAACAAAAATAACCCTTAATTTTTCTCAATAATGGCCTTGAAGTGCAAAAAAGTTACGGTGGAAGTTGTTTACAGTCTAAAGAAGCCTTGAAGTGTTTCCCATCAGTGAAAAAGTTATAATTCTCCATTTATTGTGCATAATTTATCAATTAAACTTTATAATAAGCATGTACAGGACTCATAGATAGTAGTGAACTCTATAGAGTTCACTACTATCCACAGTTTCAGTATCCACAGCAGGTCCTTTATTATAATAACAAAAGGGCATGGATCCCTAGGGACATTTTCTGATTGGTTTCGCAAATATATAAATATTAGAAAACACAAAAATATCTGAAATCTGAAATACTTACAGCCTCAGGCATTTCAGATAAAGGATTCTCAACTGCATTAATATTATTATTGATAGTTATTATCATTATTACTATTATTATTATCATGTTTATTTAGAAGCAGTAAGGCCAGAAGTAATATACAGTAGCAAGGTGATAAGTGGCATTCAGACTAGATTTTAAGAGAGTACAGTAAACCTTCCATACAGCGGACTAACAGGGAGGACTGCAGGAGTGGACCATTAAACCAGATTATCTAAAAAAACAAAGTAGTAAAAACCACTGAATTACTCTACTGTACACCTAATACAGCAGTGTACACACAGTTTGCAGATAAACTGCAATAAACATTGAAAATCAAGGCAGTTAAACGTACAATTAAACCAGTCTATTATGTCTTGGAATCAAAAGCCTGTCACCAGTAGCAAGGCAGTCCCCATGAAAAGTCAAAATGCATAGAAAGATTTGAAAGTAGCTTGTTTTATCAACATAGAGAAAGATTTGAAAGCGGCTTAAGATTTGATAATAACTTGTCTACTCAACATACCTTTTAGAGCAGAGTGAACCCACTAGTTTAAATGGCACCAACTGTAAGTGGCGGTCTGTGCGAGACTGAGAGTTTGGAATCTTGGAAGACAATTTCTGTGAGATCGGAGACATCGCACTGGAAACATCCTTGATAGCTTCACGTCTGGATAAAAAAGGTGTGGATGATGCTTCTAGTACGGAACTGGGGCTTATGGTGTGATGGGGGACACACTGGCTTGCTCACAACTGTTGAATTTGATGGTAAGAATGTTGTCTTGTCTTTGAGTTCCTCTGTAGCGTTACCTTGCAGTGCTAACATTTCCACATTATCTCCTGCAGGAACCATGTCAACTGCACACTCTTCAACATTTGCAACTTCATTAATCGGGTCATTGCTGTGCAAAACATGAAGGTCTTGTGTGGTAGCTTTCAAGGAAAATGTTCTCCTTCCTGGTTTTGGTATATTTGAAATTTTGCTTTTAATTTTGACAGGTTTTTGAGGAGTTTGATCCTTGTGTTCTACTGGAATAGATTTAGGGCTTCTCTTCCTACTCAATGTTGACAATGATCGAGACAAGGATTTCATGGAAGATTTTGAGGGAATGCTAACATCAGATTTGCCAGTGTCAAAGTCATCATCAATGCAAAATGTCTCTGTTTCTGCACATAATGGTAGTGAGGGTTTAGTGTGCTCTGACTGATTCTCTCTGCTGAGGTTAATATTTCTATTTAGCAGTAACTTCTGCTGTGCATCTGGCTTTTTACTGTCTTTATTATCTCCTTTGGATTTCTTACTGTCTTCATTCTGTTCTTTCTCATCTTCTTGTAACTGAGAGACTATCTCCTTCAACTTCTTGACTCGATCTCTCTTACTCTGAGATGACGACAGATGTTCAACATCGAAATCTTGAGTTTCTTCATCAATAGTCACATTAGTCTCTACTGAAGAAGCCAGGGTAGTGATGGAGTGTCTGCTGGTTCCTCCCTCAGTTCGTGAATCATTGATACTGCGTTGTTCACCTCCTGTTATGTTAAGACTCGCCTGCCGGACTTTCAGATCTCTGCGGGCACCTTCAACGTGCGACCATCCAGGCGACTTGGCATATTTCACATTAACCGAGACAGCAACGACTTTACTGGTGTCCATTAGCTTCGATTTAATTTCTGAAGCATATCTTACATTGCGGGAGGTCTTGCAAGCGTCGGCAATGGTGGTCTTCCCCGATGACCTAGTTGATGTTGATGGCACAGACTCCTCATAACTGGGAACTTCACTCGGTTTAGCAGAAGCATTAGCGTTAAACCGTACTTTTCTGTTTCTAGTGGGCGCTTTTGGGGGTGGCATCAATTTCTCACTTTTGGGCATCAAAGATGGAATAGTCTTGTTGAGATGAGTATTTTCATGAGTTTGAGCCATTAGAGAGAGATTTTGCCTCATTATTCTTTCTTTTTCCTGCTCTTTATTCTTCTTGTTCTTCTCTTCCTCTTCCACTGACAAGGTATTTAACTGGTAGTTGTCAATATCCTCAAACATAGAGCAAATCGCTTCCACTTCCTCTTTAGCTTTTTCAGCTTTGGATTTTGGATTCTTAATAGTGTTTAATTTACTGTTATTACTATTAAGACTATCATCAGTCGAGATAGTCTGCTGTTTCTTTGTCTTTGGTTTCTTCTTTGCTCCTATCTCGTGTACACTCTCATCATTACTTCTCTTTTTAACTATCTTTTTACCTTGGTCTTTGCTGCTAGTATTGGGTAAATCTTCACCTTGAGCAGGAGTTATGAAGATTAGGTTCTCATCTTTACCGTCATTGACTAAGCCGTCTCCTTTGGGTTGCGAAGCATGAATACCATCATCACACCGTTCATTGTCTTTTGCATCCGAAATGAGGACATCGAACTCATTCTTGGTGACAACAGGACAACTATCTGGTAAGTCGTAATGGCCATCATCATCGTCGTGATTTTGTACGATGACCGATTCGATTTGCTTCGTGTGAGACAAAGCTATGCTAGTATCGAGTGGTTTTATAACACTGAGATCAACATTGTGGTTGTGTTTAGCACCTCTGGCAATGGGCGTGCTATGCTTCTGGGTAGTGGAATTAACACTCATATCAGAATTAACAATACTATCATCTATTTTGGCAAATCTTCCCTGCATGACCGGTATACCTCTGCCTCTACCCCGGCCCCTCACTCGACCCCGACTCACATTCACCTTCCCTCTAGCTCTTGTTCCAACCCCATGACCTGTTTTTACAGTCTTCCTATTTTCCGGTGTCTTCTGACTAGGAATAAATTTAAAAGGATCACTAGGAGTCCCAGTAATAAGATCATTGGGATTAAATATCTGAGTTTCTATATCAGCCTGAGAGTCCGGTGAATCACGTTCGAGATTTTCTGTATTGGTCTTAGATTTGAAGAACTTTTTCGAACCAGTGAGAGAGGATACTAAGCTATCTTCACTTTTTTTGTTGGATAATGTGGAAGAAGATTTATTTGAGCAAATTAATCTTTTAATACCTGTTTTAATACTGGAATTATTTGGCCCTGATGCCTGCTGAGAATTTTGATCACCGAGAGCAACACTTTTAGCCTGGTTAAAGACCCGAGAGGATTCAGAATCGGTGGTGGAAGTGGTATCGGTTGAATGTGAGGCTCCTATCTGGAAGCCGACTTCTCTGCTGTTGCAGAGCCATTTTGCAACCTTGTCCGCCGGTTTTTCCCTGCCCAGTTTTTCACTAAGATGATCAGTAGACTGCTCGTTGCTTTTAATAAGTTCCCCAGGGAGTAGCAATGCATCTTCCATCTGCTGACTCACAGATATAAGTTCATCTCCTTTTGTATCTTTCTTGCCATATGTGGTGACTGGTTTGCCATTGTCTTTAGTCAGTTTTCTTGACAGTGGAGCAGCATTTCCTCTTGCACCACTTGTAGGTTTAGCCTTGCCAGATAACAGCTGCCCATTGCCCGAGCTGCGAGTGCCCCTCCCACGAGTGAAAGAGGGTATCAAGCTCTTCCTTGCTTGGGGTTCCTGTTTGCTCGGAGACGAGTAAGAATGTTCTTCGGATATGACATCCACAGCGAGAGGTTTCTTGGGGTCGTTGATACCAGCCACAGACTCCTGTGTCTGGGGTTTGTCTGTGTGCACACTCACATCTGAAAATATTAAATAATCTAGTTAATTTAGTTAATATAATATCTCTATTATGCATCCTATACCTACCCTGTGAGTACAAAATAATTAACAGCTAAATTGAAATACTTTCCAAAATCCAAATACTCATCGAAATCCAGACCCAAAACTTTACAATAATGGAATATTATTTAAGGATTCAGGGAAACTGGTTAGCTGGACTTGAGTCCTGGAGGTGAGAAGTACAGTGCCTGCACTCTGAAGGAGGGGTGGAGATATGTTAGTTTTTGAACTGTAGTGTAGACATGCCTCTGGCAAGACAGTGATGGGGTGAGTAATGATGAAGGTGTTTCTTCTTTTTTGGGTCACCTTGCCTTGGTGGGAAATGGCTGATGTGTTAATAAAAAAACAAACCATTACCAAGGTTTATATCATAACTTACCTTGGTTACTGTTGGAGGTTAAGATTCTCTGCTTGGCTGATCGTGCTCTAGGCTTAGGTATATAGACTTCTGGGTTATAGTGATCTGTTATGCCTCTCTTGCGAGTGCCTCGTCTGGGCTCGTCATTCTCCTCGTTCTCTGAGTCATCCTCCTCGGCGCTGATCACTGGTCGAGGTCTTGGCCGGTACTTTGATGGGGTAACTGAAAGATACGCCACAATAAATGTTACATCAAATAACATGACAAATTTACATACAGGAGGTCCTCGACTTACAATGTTGGTCAAGTTCTGACGAACCCGTCGTAAGTTGCAAATACTGTAAGTCGAGAATGAATATATGATAAATAAGTAAATAACTACTGTCACTGAATAAGTAAATAAACAAATAATTAATGTAACGAAATACCGGTACTGAAAAATGAATAAACGAATTAAAGTTAAGGACTTCCCACCTTCATGTTGGGTAATTATCTTAAGTTTTATCTCCAAAGTAATTGTTGCCGCACCATCGTAAAGTTGAAATACAGTGGACCCCCGGTTAACGATATTTTTTCACTCCATAAGTATGTTCAGGTGCCAGTACTGACCGAATTTATTCCCATAAGGAATATTGTGAAGTAGATTAGTCCATTTCAGACCCCCAAACATACACGTACAAACGCACTTACATAAATACACTTACATAATTGGTCGCATTCGGAGGTAATCGTTATGCGGGGGTCCACTGTATTGACTTGTGTGCTGTGAGTTTAACCCGTAAACGGTCCAAGCAGATCTACGTTCACATGTGTAGAGCTACAAAAGTAGATCTAAGTTTTTTTACATATTTTCAAATATAACAAAAAAAAAAAGTAGATCAAAGTTTTTTTTACACATTTTCAAATGTAGAAAAACAAAAAGAAGATCTACTTTTTTTACATACTTTCAAATGTTGAAAAAACATATATATACGTTTGGACCGTTTACGGGTTAACCCCTAAGCGACAATGAAAATAATGGTCACAATAAAGGCTTTTATTTGCAAAACATGTTTAACGTGTCTGCCATTATTATCAATACATGTAAGTACGTAAGCTTATTGAGGTACAGGTACACGTAAATACAGCGGACCCCCGCATAGCGACTTTAATCCGTGCAAGAGGGCTGATTGTTATGCGAAATGATCGGTATGCGAATGAATTTTCCCCATAAGAAATAATGGAAATCAAATTAATCCGTGCAAGACACCCAAAAGTATGAAAAAAAAAATTTTACCACATGAAATATACATTTTCCTACACACAAAGAGAAGGATACATGCACAGTAGTAGAGTAGTACATGCACAATATATATTGTGCATGTACTAGTCTACTAAATGAAGAATAAATGACACTTACCTTTATTGAAGATGCAGCAATGACTGATGAGACACTGTGTCCTGGGAGTGCCTTTTCCTCCTGAGTACTGTAGGTCCTGTTTGGCATTTTCTTCCAGAACAGGCCTTATCACACTGTGTATGCCACTACGATTCTTAAATCTCTCAAACCAACCTTTGCTGGCTTTAAATTCACCAATATGAGCACTAGTTCCAGGCATTTTTCCCTGTTCACCTGGGTGTTAGTCGACTTGTGTGGGTTGCATCCTGGGAGACAAGATTAAGGACCCCAATGGAAATAAGTTACAGTCTTCGATGACACTGACTTTTTTGGGTTATCCTGGGTGGAAAATCCTCTGGGGTTAATTGTTTCTTGGTATATTCTCAATAAACCACACCAACAACAGTGCTACAGCAGCAGCAGCAGCAGCTGACAGTGCTACAGCAGCAGCAGCAGCTGACAGTGCTACAGCAGCAGCAGCAGCTGACAGTGCTACAGCAGCAGCAGCAGCTGACAGTGCTACAGCAGCAGCAGCAGCTGACAGTGCTACAGCAGCAGCAGACAATGCTACAGCAGCAGCAGACGGTACTACAGCAGCAGCTGACGGTGGTACAGCAGCAGCAGACGATGCTACAGCAGCAGCAGACGGTACTACAGCAGCAGCTGACGGTGGTACAGCAGCAGCAGCAGCAGCAGCTGACGGTGGTACAGCAGCAGCAGCAGCAGCAGCTGACGGTGGTACAGCAGCAGCAGCAGCTGTACCACCAATAGTAGCGATGGTTGATTGGGGTTTATTATACAACCTGGCCAGCTCGGAGACACGCACTCCACTTTCATACTTATCAATGATCTTTTTCTTCATCTCTATAGTAATTCTCACCCTTATTGCTGTAGGGTTGGCACTAGAAGCTTTCTTGGGGCCCATGGTCACTTATTTTGCAGATAAAATCACCAAAAACACTGTAATAATACGAAATGTTCCGATTGTATGCTTGGATGTTACCGCGGAGGCTGGCTGGTAAACAATGCCACCGGCGGCACATGTGAGGCTGGCTAAGGGCGCACATTGGACGCGTCTCGGACGAAGAGCGGTGAGCGGGTTTTTGAGCGGGTTTTTGAGCAGTATGCGAGGCAAAATTTTTGCGATAAAAGCGAGCGGTATGCGGATTGAATGTTATGTGATGCGTACGGTATGCGGGGGTCCACTGTACAATTATCAAACATAGTAACATATACAAACATTCTCTCTCAGTCCATAGCCGGATTCTAACCCTCTGATGCCGAGTGTGCAGGTTCAATTCCTGCTGCAGACTGGGTGATAATGTTTGTAAATAATTTTGCCTCTTTGTAAATTAAGCAAAGGCATGTGTAGGTTGGTAGACAGCAACCACCCAGGGAGGTACTACCGTCCTGCCAAGTGAGTGTAAAACGAAGCCTGTGATTGTTTTACATGATGGTAGGATTGCTGATGTCTTTTGTCTGTCTCATAAATATGCAAGATTACAGGCATGTCTTGCTACTTCTACTTACACTTAGGTCACACTACACATACATGTACACATTTATTTATACACACTCATCTGAGTTTTCTTTGATTTTATCTTAATAGTTCTTGGTCTTATTAATTTTCCTTTTATATCCATGGGGAAGTGAATAAGAATCTTTCCTCCGTAAGCCATGCGTGTTGTAAAAGTCAACTAAAATGCCGGGAACAATGGGCTAGTAACCCCTTTTCCTGTAAAGATTACTAAAAAGAATAAGAAGAAGAAAATTGTCAAAGTGGGAAGTCTGAATGTGCGTGGATGTTGTGCAGATGATAAGAAAGAGATGATTGTGGATGTTATGAATGAGAAGAAGCTGGATGTCCTGGCTTTAAGTGAAACAAAGCTGAAGGGGGTGGGAGAGTTTCAGTGGAGAGGAATAAATGGGATTAGGTCAGGGGTTTCAAATAGAGTTAGAGCTAAAGAAGGAGTAGCAATAATTTTTGAAGGATAAGCAATGGCAGGAAAAGAGGGACTATAAATGTATTAATTCAAGGATTATGTGGATTTAAAATAAAGATTGGATGTAAAAAAGTGGGTTATAAATAAGCGTGTATGCACCTGGAGAAGAGAGAAGTGTAGAGGAGAGAGAGAGATTTTGGAAATGTTGAAGTGAATGCGTGGGGAGTTTTGAATCAAGTGTGAGAGTAATGGTGGTTGGGGATTTTAATGCTAATGTGGGTAAAAAAGTTATGGAGGGAGTAGTAAGGGAAATTTGGGGTGCCAGGGGTAAATGGTAAATGGGGAGCCTTTTTAAATTTAGCATGTGTAGAAAGAAATTTGGTAATAAGTAATACATATTTTATGAAAAGAGGATAAATAAATATACAAGGTAATGATGTAGCACGTAATGAAAGTTGTTTATTAGATTATGTATTGGTGGATAAAAGGTTGATGGGTAGGCTCCCGGATGTACATGTTTATAGAGGGGCAAATGATATTATCGGGTCAATTATTTAGTTTGTAGCTACGTTAGAGTAAGAGGTTTGATGGGAAAAGAGGAAGGTGGCAACAACAAGTAAGAGGGAGGTGAAAGTGTATAAACTAAGGGAGGAGGAAGTTCGGGTGAGATATAAGCGACTAAATTTGGGAGAAAGGTGGGCTAGTGCAAAGATGAGTAGTGGGGGGGTTGAAGAGGGTTGGAATAGTTTTAAAAATGCAGTAAAAGAAGTGGGGGCAGAAGTTTGTGGTTAAAGGAGGGTGGGGGCAGGAGGAAGAGGAGTGATTGGTGGGAAAGATGAAATAAAGGGTGTGATAAAAGAGAAAAAGGTAGTTATGAGAGGTTTTTACAAAGCAGAAGTGTTTAAGAAGAGCAAGTATTGGAGAGTAAAAGAAAGGTAAAGAGAGTGGTGAGAGGTGAAAAAAGGAAGCAGATGATAGAGTGGGAGAGGCACTGCAAAAAATTTAATGAAAAAAAAAAAAAAAATTTTGGAGTGATTAAAAAATTAAGAAACCTGGGAAAAATAGGGATTTGTCATTTAAAAAAACAAGTAGGGGAGTTAGTAGATGGGGGAATGGGGTATTGGGAAGATGCGAGAATATTTGAGGAACTTTTAAATGTTAAAAGGAGAAAAAGAGGCAGAAATTTATGCACTGGTCGGGGGGGTATACCATTTTTAGGGTGAAGAAAGCAGAATGTAAGTGTGGGGGAGGGACGGAGGCATTTTGTAAAAAAAAGGGGGGTAAAGCAGCGGGAAAGATGGGGTCATGACAGAAATGTTAAAACAGGGGGGGATAAGGTTGGAGTGGTTGGACTTTTTTTTAAAAATGTATAAAAAGGGGAAAGGGACCCAGGGTTGGCAGGACATGTATGTCCCTTTAAAAAAGGGGAAAGGGGGCAAAAGAGACGAAAAAATTTTAGGGAATAAGCTTACGAGTATACCCGGAAAAAATGTACGGTAGGGTATAATTGAAAGAATAAGGAAGACGAAGTTGGGTTGCGGATGAGCAAGGAGGTTTTAAGGGGGTGGGTAGGGGGTGTGTAGATAGGGGTTTTCATTGAAGCATATATGTGAACATTATTTAGAAAAGATAGGAATTTTTATTTCATTATGGATTTAAAAAGGCATATGTAAGTGGATAGAGGAGCAATGTGGGGAGATTTGCAAGATTGAATTGGTGGGAAGTTATTAAATGCTGTAAAAAGTTTTATGAGGAAGGAGGCCAGGTTAGGGGTTAAAAGGAGGGGGATACTTCCCGGTAAAAATAGGGCTTAGACGGGATGGTAATGTCCCCGGTTGTTTAAATATTTTTAGATGGGGGTTTAAAGGAATAAAAACTAGGGGGTTTTGGGAGAGGGGGGGGATTAAAATTAGGGGAATCAAATTCAAAATGGGAATTGACACGTTACTTTTTGCTGATGAAACTGGCTTATGGGAGATTCTAAAGAAAAAATTGAAAGGGTTTTGTGGGTGAGTTTGGGAAGGTGTAAAGGGGAAAAGTTGAAAGTGAAAATAGAAAAGGGGTAAGGGAGAGGGGGCAAATGATTTTGAAAAGAAAAATTGGATATCAAATTGGGGAGGAGGATTTTGGAAGAAGTGAATGTTTTTAGATACTTGGGAGTTGACGTGTCGGCGGATGGATTTATGAAGGATGAGGTTAATCATAGAATTGATGAGGGAAAAAAGGTGAGTGGTGCGTTGAGGTATATGTGGAGTCAAAAAACGTTATCTATGGAGGCAAAGAAGGGAATGTATGAAAGTATAGTTAGTACCAACACTCTTATATGGGTGTGAAGCTTGGGTGGTAAATGCAGCAGCGAGGAGACGGTTGGAGGCAGCGGAGATGTCCTGTTTAAGGGCAATGTGTGGTGTAAATATTATGCAGAAAATTCGGAGTGTGGAAATTAGGAGAAGGTGTGGAGTTAATAAAAGTATTAGTCAGAGGGCAGAAGAGGGGTTGTTGAGGTGGTTTGGTCATTTAGAGAGAATGGATCACAGTAGAATGACATGGAAAGCATATAAATCTATAGGGGAAGGAAGGCGGGGTAGGGGTCGTCCTCGAAAGGGTTGGAGAGAGGGGGTAAAGGAGGTTTTGTGGGTAAGGGGCTTGGACTTCCAGCAAGCGTGTGTGAGCGTGTTAGATAGGAGTGAATGGAGACGAATGGTACTTGGGACCTGACGATCTGTTGGAGTGTGAGCAGGGTAATATTTAGTGAAGGGATTCAGGGAAACCGGTTATTTTCATATAGTCGGACTTGAGTCCTGGAAATGGGAAGTACAATGCCTGCACTTTAAAGGAGGGGTTTGGGATATTGGCAGTTTGGGGGATATGTTGTGTATTTTTTTATATGTTTATGCTTCTAGACTGTTTGTATTTCTGAGCACCTCTGCAAAAACAGTGATAATGTGTGAGTGTGGTGAAAGTGTTGAATGATGATGAAAGTATTTTCTTTTTGGGGATTTTCTTTCTTTTTTGGGTCACCCTGCCTCGGTGGGAGACGGCCGACTTGTTGAAAAAAAAAAAAAAAAAAAAATGTGTACTTATTATTATTATAATCAAAACCAAGTGTTAAACCCACCAGGGCTAAAGAGCGCTGAGAAACGTGTTAATTACCCCAAAAAAGTCAAAGTGACTTATTTCCATTATTTTTTCAGTCATGGTATTGTGTCTTTTGTTAATTAGAACTCATCTGCCATGAGTTTAAACCCCATCCATTCTAAATTTTGACCTCCCTTCAATATGTGTGGGTTTTTGGCAAATCATTGCAGCCAAAATCGAAGTCACCATCACACTACCTTCAAAGCAGCAATCTTTCTTGATACTGTCGATGATCTTTCGCACGTGGACAACCAGTTTGGTTATTTTGTTGTTGTGGCCCAGAGATCGGCGGGTGATGTTGGCCATGCAGAGTGGACAGTGGGCCGTGTTGCGAGGGCCCTTCACCACTTGCTGAATACAATCACCACAGAACGAGTGACCACATTTGGTGGTTAGGGGATTATTGAGCAAATCCAGGCTGAAAACAGAGATTATATAAGTATGGGAATAGTAATTACAAATTATTCAACAATCCAGGCTGAAAACAGATTATATAAGGCTCGGTGTTATTCTTACAATAAGAGCCAAGTGCTAAACCCACATGGGTCATAAGTTTTGGTAAAATAACTGTCATAATAATTATATTATAGGCCTGGTCACAGACCGGGCCGCAGAGACGTTGACCCCCGAAACTCTCTCCAGGTAAACCTTGGCATCAAATACATCTCACTAGAAAAACAGTTGAAATGTGTCCAACTGATCTATAAGACACATTCCAACACATTAGATGTGTCTCAGTACAGAAATGTATCCACTTCAGCAGGGACCTGAAGAAATTTTAAAAACATTCATAAAAAATCATTTTCATTACTACTCTTCTTAATTCATACAAACACACAACAGGTATACTTCAGGTATACGCCAGGTGTATACTCACCATATATTGCACTGCAGAGTCTTCTGCATCGCCTGAAGCACTGCATTCATCTGGTTGAGACGGTCCTCCATGTTTACCCCATTACACTGCACCGCGGTGCAACCTTAAGGCAAACAAGGGAATATTTAAGCTGTGGCATGAACAGGATGGAGGTTCTGACGTTCTTTCACATGAACAGATGGAGGTTCTGTTACATGAACAGATGGAGGTTCTGAGGTTCTGTTACATGAACAGGATGGAGGTTCTGAGGTTCTGTTACATGAACAGATGGAGGTTCTGAGGTTCTGTTACATGAACAGATGGAGGTTCTGAGGTTCTGTTACATGAACAGGATGGAGGTTCTGAGGTTCTGTTACATGAACAGGATGGCGGTTCTGAGGTTCTGTTACATGAACAGATGGAGGTTCTGAGGTTCTGTTACATGAACAGGATGGAGGTTCTGAGGTTCTTTCACATGAACAGGATAGAGATTCAAAGGTTCTTTCACATGGACAGGATGGAGGTTCTGAGGCTCTGTTACATGAACAGGATGGAGGTTCAAAGGTTCTGTCACATGAACAGGATGGAGGTTCTGAGGTTCTTTCACATGAACAGGATGGAGGTTCTGAGGTTCTTTCACATGAACAGGATGGAGGTTCTGAGGTTCTGTTACATGAACAGGATGGAGGTTCAGAGGTTCTGTCACATGAACAGGATGGAGGTTCTGAGGTTCTCTCACATGAACAGGATGGAGGTTCAGAGGTTCTGTCACATGAACAGGATGGAGGTTCTGAGATTCTGTTACATGAACAGGATGGAGGTTCTGAGATTCTGTTACATGAACAGGATGGAGGTTCTGAGGTTCTTTCACATGAACAGGATGGAGGTTCTGAGGTTCTGTCACATGAACAGGATGGAGGTTCAAAGGTTCTGTCACATGAACAGGATGGAGGTTCAAAGGTTCTGTCACATGAACAGGATGGAGGCTCAAAGGTTCTGTCACATGAACAGGATGGAGGTTCTGAGGTTCTTTCACATGAACAGGATGGAGGCTCTGAGGTTCTTTCACATGAACAGGATGGAGGTTCAAAGGTTCTGTCACATGAACAAGATGGAGGTTCTGAGGTTCTGTTACATGAACAGGATGGAGTTTCTGAGGTTCTGTCACATGAACAGGATGGAGGTTCAAAGGTTCTGTCACACGAACAGGGTGGAGGTTCAAAGGTTCTGTCACATGAACAGGATGGAGGCTCAAAGGTTCTGTCACATGAACAGGATGGAGGTTCTGAGGTTCTTTCACATGAACAGGATGGAGGTTCAAAGGTTCTGTCACATGAACAAGATGGAGGTTCTGAGGTTCTGTTACATGAACAGGATGGAGGTTCTGAGGTTCTGTTACATGAACAGGATGGAGGTTCTGAGGTTCTGTCACATGAACAGGACGGAGGTTCAAAGGTTCTCTTACAGGACCAGGAAAAAAACAGCGAACCAAGTGACGGTTAAAGCGTTTCTTTCTCGGGCCCCAATACCCCAATGGGAGACGATCGATGTGTAAAAAATAATAAGATAAGATTCTGTTTGTATTTTTAACTCCGGAGGGTTAGCCAAACAGAATAACCCAAGAAAGTCAGTGCGTCATCGAGGACTGTCTGCCTTATTTCCATTGTAGTCCTCAATCTTGTCCCCCAGGATGCCACCCACACCAGTTGACTAACGCCCAGGATGCCATCCACACCAGTTGACTAACACCCAGGATGCCACCCACACCAGTTGACTAACACCCAGGATGCCATCCACACCAGTTGACTAACACCCAGGATGCCATCCACACCAGTTGACTAACACCCACACCAGTTGACTAATACCCAGGATGCCATCCACACCAGTTGACTAACACCCAGGATGCCATCCACACCAGTTGACTAACACCCAGGATGCCATCCACACCAGTTGACTAACACCCACACCAGTTGACTAATACCCAGGATGCCATCCACACCAGTTGACTAACACCCAGGATGCCATCCACACCAGTTGACTAACACCCAGGATGCCACCCACACTAGTTGACTAACACCCAGGATGCCACCCACACCAGTTGACTAATACCCAGGATGCCACCCACACCAGTTGACTAACACCCAGGATGCCACCCACACTAGTTGACTAACACCCAGGATGCCACCCAAACCAGTTGACTAACACTCAGGATGCCACCCACACCAGTTGACTAATACCCAGGATGCCACCCACACCAGTTGACTAACACCCAGGATGCCACCCACATTAGTTGACTAACACCCAGGATGCCACCCACGCCAGTTGACTAACACCCAGGATGCCACCCACACCAGTTGACTAACACCCAGGATGCCACCCACACCAGTTGACTAACACCCAGGATGTGACCCACACTGGTTGACTAACACCCAGGATGTCACCCACACTAGTTGACTAACACCCAGGATGTGACCCACACCAGCTGACTAACACCCAGGATGCCACCCACACCAGTTGACTAACACCCAGGATGTGACCCACACCAGCTGACTAACACTCAGGATGCCACCCACACCAGTTGACTAGCACCCAAGATGCCACCCACACTAGTTGACTAACACCCAGGATGCTACCCACACTAGTTGACTAACACCCAGGATGCCACCCACACCAGTTGACTAACACCCAGGATGCCACCCACACCAGTTGACTAACACCCAGGATGCCACCCACACTAGTTGACTAACACCCAGGATGCCACCCACACCAGTTGACTAACACCCAGGATGCCACCCACACCAGTTGACTAACACCCAGGATGCCACCCACACCAGTTGACTAACACCCAGGATGTGACCCACATCCTGGGAAGGGTAAAGAGAAAGGAGAGTCTTTCAATGTTTATTATGCTAATGCCGAAGCACTAGGAATAAGATGGACGAGTTGAGATTAGTTGCTGGTGCAGGTAACATTGATGTATTTGCCTTAACTGAGACGTGGTTTAATTCAAAACGTCGGGACATGGATGCGGAATGTCATATTCAGGGTTTTAAACTGTTCCAAGTAGATAGAAGCATCGGGAAGAGGGGTGGGGTGGCATTGTATGTCCGAGATCGCTTGAACTGTTGCATAAAAACGGGTATTAAGTCTGAAGTAACACATACAGAGTCTGTTTGGATAGAATTTTCAGAGGGGCATGAAAAACTGATTTTAGGAGTGATATACCATCCCCCAAACTTAGATAGGGACCAGGGGAGACTACTATGGGAGGAAATTGTTAAGGCCACAAGGCACGATAATGTAGTAATTCTAGGAGACTTTAACTTTAGTTTATATTGATTGGAATTTCTTGACTGGGAATTTAGAATCATACGACTTCTTAGAAGTAGTTCAGGATTGTTTTTTGAAGCAGTTTGTGACAGAACCTACAAGGGGAAATAACACTGCTTGACTTAGTTATGGCAAACAATGAATCCTTGTTAATAATTTAGAAATTTAAGAGGAACTGGGTGCTAGCGACCACAAATCAATTAATTTAGCATTGAATGGAAGTACGATAGTAGCGATAACTCAGTAACAGTCCCAGATTTTCGCCTTAGCAGATTACGATGGGCTTAGAGAACACTTATCATCTGTTGACTGGGGTAACGAAGTGAGCTATCAATATGACAGTTTTCTGAACACTATACATGCTGCTCAAAAAACATATATCCCATATAAAGAAATTAGATCAAATAGAAATGACCCAAAATGGATGATAATAGGCTCAAATATCTACTAGGGCATAAGAAAGGAATTTATAGGCGTATCAAAAGAGGTGAGGGTCATCTTATGAATCAGTATATTGACAATAAGAGGGACATTAAAAAGGGGATAAGAAAAGCTAAAAGGGACTATGAAATTAAAGTTGCTAGGGATTCTAAAACTAACCCAAAAGTTTTTTCCAGGTCTATAGAACAAAAAGTTAGAGATAAGATAGGTCCCCTTAAAAATAACTATGGGCACCTTACTGACAAAGAGAATGAAATGTGCTCGATTTTTAATACAGTGGACCCCCGCATAGCGAACGCATCGCATAGCGAACAATCCGCATAGCGAACGCTTTGTTCGCTGAATTTTGCCCGCATAGTAGACAAAAAACCCGCTCAGCGAACTTCGTCCGAGACGCGTCCAATGTGCGGCCTCAGCCAGCCTCACATGTGCCGCCCGTCCATTGTTTACCAGCCAGCCTCCGCGGTAACATCCAAGCATACACTCGGAATATTTCGTATTATTACAGTGTTTTCGGTGCTGTTTGTGGAAAATAAGTGCCATGGGCCCCAAGAAAGCTTCTAGTGCCAACCCTACACCTCAAAGGGTAAGAATACCCATTGAACTTAAGAAAGAAATCATTGATAAGTATGAAAGTGGAGTACGTATCACCGACCTGGTCAGGTTGTACAAGAAACCAAAATCAACCATCGGTTCTATTGTGGGCAAGGAAAACGGCAATCAAGGAAGCTGTGTTGCCAAAGGTTTAACTGTGTTTTCGAAACAAAGATCGCAAGTGATGGAAGATGTTGAGAGACTCTTATGGTGTGGATAAATGAAAAACAGCTAGCAGGAGATAGCGTCTCTCAAGCGATCATATGTGAAAAGGCTAGGAAGTTGCATGACGATTTAATTAAAAAAATGCCTGCAACTAGTGATGATGTGAGTGAATTTAAGGCCAGCAAAGGTTGGTTTGAGAGATTTAAGAAGCGTAGTGGCATCCATAGTGTGATACGGCATGGTGAGGCTGCCAGTTCGGACCACAAAGCGGCTGAAAAATATGTGCATGAATTCAAGGAGTACATAGAAACTGAAGGACTGGAACCTGAACAAGTGTTTAATTGTGATGAAACAGGCCTGTTTGGAAGAAAATGCAAGCAGGACCTACATTACTCAGGAGGAAAAGGCACTCCCAGGACATAAGCCTATGAAAGACAGGCTTACTTTGTTGATGTGTGCCAATGCTAGTGGTGATTGCAAAGTTAAGCCTTTATTAGTGTATCACTCTGAAACTCCCAGAGCGTTCAGGCAAAAGAATATCCTCAAGGATAATTTGTGTGTGCTGTGGAGGGCAAACAGTAAGGCAGGGGTCAC